ATAAGAAGCGATCCGTTAAAAGAAACTTCACTAAAACACCATCGACACTGCAAAAATAAGAATCACAGTCATCTTATCACTACATAGTTTGAAACAAAGTCGCTTTCTCTGTCTCTATATCCCTAAACTTGTAAATTTTATGCAATTTTATGATTCGATACAGTTTTGTTAAAGAGATAGACTGATTGAAGAGGAAGGTCATAAGAAATCCATTAAAGGTGCGATGCTGTAGCAGGTTGCTAGTACAGAATATCATATCAAGTGCAATCACGCGCCTGGCAACTCAAAGAGCTGTTAGAGAGATTGAAGAGCTGTTTAGTTCATTTTTGAGTTTCAATTTGGGTGTGAGTTAATAACAGTGAATTGCCACACATTCGCTTAGCATGTTCTAAAATGCACGACGTGATAATAAAAATAGTGTGTGTATCGACATCATTTTACAATGCTTGCTGTGTAACATTATCATTGACAATAATATATGTAAAATCGTCGTAGAAAAAAACTTTATATTCAAAGATAACGGTATCTTATTTATAGAATAAATTATGATAAATGTAAAACTGTTGAATAAAAGACACAAACATTTGAAATTCAAACTATTGTTGGATGTTGACACGACACAGGGATCTTTATTTTTTACAAACTATTCAGATACAGAATACAGATCATAGCGTGATGTTTTATAGCCTTCCTCGATAAATGGACTAACTAAAACAAAAATATTTGTTCAATTCGAACCAGCAGTTCCCGAGATTAGTCCGATCAAACTAACAAACAAACTCTTCAGCTTTATAATATTTATCATACTATATATTAGTATAAGTACAGATATAGAGAATTATTGAGGTACTTTATTACTTCTCCACATTATTTAAGAAATAAATATAAAATTGACTCTCCATCAAACAATATTTATAGAAAGCAAAGATAAATCTATGATGCATGTCTTCTTACTACAATTTATATACTCGTAATACTTTATTAGCTTCTGCTTATTGCTTTTGTTCTTCCTTTAAGAAGATATAGTAATAATTGCAAAAATAAACTGAATGTGAACTCAATGATACACAGTCGTTTTTGGCAATCACTCAAATAAAAAATTTTGTTTCCAATTTTCTGTATAGTTTTCTGTAAACTTTGTACGGGATTGTACAGTGTCACCATGTTTTGTTGCGACTATTAATGAGAACCCAATTGTCCTTTATCATAAACCAATGAGACAGAGAGATATACATATATGTACGAGTCTGTCTCTTCGTCTTGCTTTTTAACAGTTTTATGAAGTGCAGTAATGAAAGAAATTGGGAAGTTCTAAATTAGGTATTAAAAATCATAACAGTGCTTTCGCCAAAATTGGGGGAATTGTTTCATTTCTTTAAAAAAAGACAGAGAGTAAAAGAAGATAACAATAAAGTAAGCAATTCTGCTAAGGATAAATTATATTTATATAATTATAAATATTTCGCATTGCTTCTAAATTAGTAATTTTTTGATAGTTCAATTGCGTAGTATGCATATTTGATTAAAGTTTCTTACCTAGTGTCCACCAGTCGCATAATGTTACACCGCTCAGCACAAGCCGCTGACATGATGGTAGTCTGAGCACCAGAGTCGATGAAAGCCTTCACGGGGAATCTAGAGCATAATTACAATATATTAACATATTTATTATTATGATATAGGATAGCTACAGCTGTTTAGTGTTTCATTCGTTGCATACACTAAAATAAGATTTTCTGACAGTCTTTGATTTCAAACTCTATGAACACAGTAAATATCTCATCTTAACCGGCTAATAAAATTATGAACTTTAAACCTTTACAAAAATACTATTTTTGTACCAGGAAAAATATGGCAATTACTGTAGTCCCAGAAGACAGAGTCTCAGAAGTTATTAAAGTTAATAAACTTACCCGTTCACATGACAGTTGATGTAGAGCATAACCACAGTTCCAAATGTTTCAGGGTTGTACTCCATGGCCGCTTCCATGTTAGCTTCGATGTTTTTCTGACGAATCTCCTCAGCAATCATTCGCTGCGCCTCTGTATCAAACGGATCTGAATTCATCATCCTGAAATAAGTCTACTTTTAAATCATAGTCCCTATTTATACCTATCTCATGAAGAACCAATTTGCAATATTTTGTCACCTTATGCGTTGTTGTTGGCGTTCCGTTCTAGCTACAATCTGTTCGCGAAGCACAGTAGCAAATGTATCTACGAAACAAGATTTAGATATTTAACAAATGTCTGAGTATTTTAGTGTTAGCTGTTATAAAAATTAGTATTAAAAATTGGTTAATACCTATCCAGTCATTTTCATTTAAATACATAATATTTCTCACCTTGGTATTAGTTCAGCAAGATAACTATTGAACACAGTTACTATGATAAATGATAGCAAAATAAAAAAATAAAGCACTGATGATAAAGCTGTCAAATAATATAAAGCCCATAAACCACATTTGGTATATTTTAAAGGTTTTGATGATTCAGGATTTCTTTAAACAGAATATCTTATATAGCTAAAATCATGGAGGTTGGTGACACTTGATCCCTGTTTTATTACTAAGGTTCACATTACAATTATACATATTTTGGTACTGTTTGCTGATGATGTAGGAATTATATAATACAATGACCTATCCAACGCAAAGCTCCTTGAGCAAGGTTAAAAAATAATTATCCTACTAATTTGTGTTAAGATTGCGAAAGTTTGTGAAAATGTATGCAAAAATATTTTTAGCACACAGAATCTACTGGACATATGGGTACTATTCTCCCTGGACATTGTAAACGCGAAAACTCTCTATTGTATGTTTGTCTTTTTGTTTCCTTCATATCTAAATCACTGATTCAATTGGGACAAAACAAACATACTTAAGGACCAAATAAAAGACATCCTTAGAAATAGAAACTGTGAGGTTAAAGCTCCAGGATCATTAACTTCTAAATCACTTAACCAGTGAAAGTGAAAACAATTATATTGCAATCATACTGTGAAATTCGATTTAAATTTCAGGGCTCAATAATAGGGAAAGATAGTGGTGGATGCTCTCAAATGATTTCTGCTTAATTGTGTAATGTTGCCATGTGGTGCCAGCAGATTCATGAGCTTCTTACAGTTGTTGTGAACACCTATGGGACTGAATGATTAACAGAGAATAGGCAAGAGCAGTCTCCGATAACCTGACCCAACCTGACTTCAAATTATGATGTACAACCCACCTGCCTAACAGAAATGATAGCAAACTACTCTGACTTTCACCGACAATTTACTTATGTTACTATAGTATATTTATATTAGCATTACACCCTGAACTTCTTTGTTTTAAAAGTTTATAGTTTAGTTGGAATAAATGATTTTCACTTGTTGACTTTTATTTCTTAAAACATATGCTTTGAAAATAAATTATTATGTTGCACCCACTTCTTTCAATTTGCAATTTAAAAATTTCAATGTTATGCAGTCACAACTGGAGATATCTTTTATTTATTTCATCAACCTATTGTTCTTCTTTTGTGTCTCAAATTATCATGATGGAAAAAATATAATAGAATTTATTATTAAAAACAATAACAGGTATGTATTAGGAGATCAAGTCCACCCCTAAGGCTACCCACTGACCAAGGAAGTTGCAGCTAAAAGTGAGTATGAATACATAAACAAAGATAGTGCAAATTAATGAAATATATATATGCAGTTACTTATTGTTACATACCAAGGTTGCCACTAAGAAGTGCATCAGCCAATCTAGGGTTATTTTGCTTTAGAAGAGCGAGCTGGTCTGGATTCGCTAAAAACATCTCTCTGATGATACGTGGGTCTTCTTCAACAGGAGTGTTTCTAGCTGCCATTGTGCTTGTGCTGGCTGCACCTGGTGGGACTCTGATGCTACTGAAGTCTAAATTTGCTAAGCCTGTGGGCAAAGCTGCAAGGAAGATGATGATTTTTAAATATTTTACTGAAAATATATAACACAACCTGAAAGTTTAAAAATTTTTGCTAAAATGACGTAATTTATGTCACATATCTTTTTATTCCAGGAGAGAGGATTTTCTCTTTGTTTCTAAAATCATTTTACTGGCCAGTATTTAGTTTGTCAAAACCACCCTGTCATCCAATGACAAATAATGGCATGACAATGCATTTTTAGATGTACATACAGTGAAAACGAATATTACAACATTTACATTACCTTGACTGGAATCAGTCTGATTGAGGTTCGATGCTGACTGCATCATGTGGAGCAGCACGATCACATCTCCGTCGTGAACTCCGTGTTCTTTTAAAGACTTTTTATCATCTAAAAGCGGCTTGCCATTGAAATTCAGAATGAAATCTTTCGCAGGAAACCCGGATTCAATTTCACAAAATGCTTTAAAATTTTCTAACTCCAAGTCTTCAGATACGTCTAAGACGAAAATTTCGTCGTTTAGAGTAGAGATTGTGATCTTCATTGTAAATTTGGTGATGCGGCTACTACGACTGAACACAGTTCACTAAGGTAAATACGTGTTGTTTGATTTATACACCGTGGATGACTGGCCAAAACATTTTAAAACTTGTGTACGTCTCTAAATATACTACGCTGATTTTGTTTTCACTAACAAAAGCGCAGAGGATATTACTTTGAAACTTCCCTGCGATATATTTTAAGTAACAAATTTACAAAGGTTCACAAAGGTGCACTCGGTTGCGACTAGGGTTGTATTTCGCAGGCCTTCTGTTCCGTTTGTTCCCGGTCCCGCTACATCGTGCGCTTGGTTAACGGTATTTTTACTTTAGCGCCATATAGTCATAAAATATAATTAGTTTAGTGCTAAATTATTAATATTTTGTGATTGTATATTTGACGGGTCTTGACATAATATATTTTTTTAATTTCAATAATTTTAGAAATTTCCGGTTTTTGAAATCGATGTCTTGTTGGTTGTCAAATCGATTTTTGCTGTCTTCGTATATTATCTGTGGAAACGGACAACACTATTTTTTAAAAAGATTCCTGATGTAGTCGCAGAGAAAACTTGGCGGTGGAAACCAGTGGAAACGTCTTCTTTGTTAGGTACCTGTTCTATAGTTTTCTTTTTACGTAGGTAGTAGTCGCGAGTGCTGAGTGTTGGCTTTGCTGGGTATTTACATATTATAAAAACAAAGCGTTTGTTTTAGAAGCTGGCACAAATTGGAGGTTTGCGTCCCATTCATTGAGTGTACTGGATTTTATAAATTTACAATGTGAAATCGACACATGACGTAGAATGGTGAGTTATTTTTTGTTGCTTACATTTTATTTTTTATTGTAAATACTTGACTTAATTCTGGTACTTCGAATTGTATCTGTAGGTAGGTTCTTTACTTTGTCATTGAATTTTTTTGGCAACGAAAGCTTGTCGATGAGACAGAATGAAGTAGTCGATAGCAAAGTGGAAACATGTTTTTGTTGTTGACTTATTTCGATTTCTTTCTCGCTTACAAATTGTGAAACCAGATCTTAATAAGTTGCTCCTGTTGCCAATCAGGAATGACATGTTTTTATTAAATGTTTACTCTGAAATAAAAAATAAACTAAGGCACATGGATCATACATTAGTTATTATTTTCTTCATTAATTTGTAATACCAACTTGGCACCACTTTAAGCAGTTATAATTTTTTTTATAGATATTGTTTAAAATAAATCCAACATGACTTCTTGAAAATTAAATCTAATTGTATAAATATTTACTATAAACAAGTCTAGTGGCTTCTTTTAAATTGCTGTAATATTAAATATTATGTTTATTTATTAATAGGAACCACTGAGTTACTGACTGCCAATCCCTACAGAATATAGAGAAACCACAAAAAGAATTCCTTAACTTTCACCTGTGTAATTATCTATTAGGAGTACTTTGTAAAAATGCAGCAAGTATCTTCAACAGAAAAATTTTGTCTTAACTCCCACAAAAAGTATTAGGCCTCACATGTTAATCCTAAGTTATCATCATTAAAATAACCATTTTTACTTGCCTTTTGAGCAACTGTATTGGCAGTTTCCCTTATATATCTAAACTAGGCATGTTCATCATCAATATCCCATAAGATTTAAATAATAAAAGTAAAATATTTCACTCAATTTTCCAACAAAAGATATAAAAGAAGATATTGTAAAAGCATACATATGCTTTATATCAGTATATAGCTTGACTATGTCACAAATAGCTAGTCATATAAAAAAAAACTTCATTATTTACCAAGGTGTGTTTGCATCAACTCTAAATTTATCAAATTCTATTGTCTTTTCACTTTTTGACTCATGATGACTGCTAGTTACTGTCCATATTTAACAAAGAGTTAAATTCTGTTTGTTATTCGATGTATTTTTACATCAGAATGAGGTATCATAAGAATGGAGACAATTCTTATTGTATTATAGCCTGGTATGGATGTACAACCAGCACATAATCTTATTAAAACATCCATTATCATATGATTGTATTATATTTTATCTAGCTTACAGAAACAGTGCTGCATTTTGTATGATATTGAAAAAAAACTGCCAATATACATAGTAACCAACTATCAAGAGCCAAAATCTAAAAAGATGTCTTGTAAAGAAAATACACCAAATTATTTTTCTTCCTTGGTAACACTACAATGTTTTTGAGTGCAAAGATGATGAGTAATAAATGATGTCAGCGTTTAATGTTGCACTAACAACCAAGGCCCCATATCATCTAGGCAACCATTCAAAAACTTAATTGTATGATAAAATACAAAAGAATCATTATTTTAAATTTGATTTACTTTGCATGTTCAAATTGCTATTTGAGCAAATACTGCTGTTAAATAAACATTGTAGGTGTAGCCATTCTCTAAACTCTGAACAGCACTTGAAACTGTTTTACAGAGCCAAACTCCAGTCAATGGCATGGAATCTATTTGTATCACCTCTATTCCAATACTATTTACTTCAACACTGTGTAACACAAACAGTTGCCCAAGATTTAGAACTATTTCAAAACTATTGATATAAACCAGTTTGCATGTATTTAGCTGGACTAGTCTCAAGGTGATTTGCACATACATACATGTGTGACCTCATAATACATTTCTTTTGCAGAGTTCATCTTACACGGGTCAATTACAATAGTCTAACAGTCAGTGAGTTGTAAACATGTCATCAGTGGGACAACTAGTTCCTCAGGTGACGCGAAGCCCCCCAAATATGTCTATTATTAAATTCAACGGACCCCACGTAGAGGGGTCTTTCTGCACGTCAATCGATTACAACTATGACCCTGTAATCAGCGTGTTATGCGCTATGTACATTGCATTTGGCGTCGTCTACACGCTGTTCGGTAAGTACATACTTTAGCGCAGTCACAATTATTTCCCTTGCTCGCGTACATTTATGAGATGAATTGATGCAAATTCCCCATCTTATCGTGGCGCGAAATCCTTTAAATAACTACCTATTGTTAGTTTTCGCAGTCTGATAAGTACTGGTAACATTCATAATATTATCTTAAAGGCGCTCTAGATATGAATACTTAATAAAATTAGATTTGTATTTACCTGTTTTCCAATGCCGACTACATCTTTCTCGCAATTATTATTCTTACAGTAGTAAGCTAAAGACAAAATGTTATTTATATTCCGATTCACGGATATATTACAATCAAACAACCGGCACTAGAAAGAGTATTGAAAATATTTCGTCATAAACCGGATATTTGTTTGAATTCAACAACAAGTTTTTGTGTGATAAAATATCAAAAGATCACAATGCGAGTCAGTGGTGATTTAATTAAATAGATGTGGAATAAAAACTACATTCAAATTAGTAATTGCCGGCTACGTCATGCGCACAGTTAGTTACGTTCTAAAAACATTAACCTGCGCTGCTGAGTGCGTACGTGCACATAACTGTCGTCCCATTGTTATTTACAACAAACTTACAACAGACTGCTTCAAATATGTAGAATACTTTAGAACAAATGCATGAATTTGGTGCCACTCTTTTCATCCCATAAAAGACGTCATTTTTTAATGCATAAAACAGCCTCGCTGGTCAAATTGCATACAAGTTGTCGAACAGAATGGAATGGTAAAGTCGTTACGAAAGTAACTAAAGGATTGCCATGGACTTGTTCGTAAGCCTATGTCATTCCCATTCATTTCTAGTCTAGTCTGTTCCACTAGCATCTATGCCGTTTTTCGAGTGGGGCAGTAGTGTTTAATACTTTGGATACCCTAGCTCTTTGTACCAACATATTTATGACAATGTCTCTTTCAGGCTACCGCTGTTTCAAAGCAAGTATGTTCCTGACTGGCTTCACTTTTGGCTCGGCTATCGTTTACCTTATATGCCTCCAGGAGTATCTGATGCCACCTTATGGTAACGTTGGTAAGTTCACTATCATTACTACTGCTATATTATTTTAGATTGTTTAACAAATGAAACTTTGAAAAAGTAGTCATACAAAGGTTTTCCTCACATTGTTAAATCGAGGAGTTTGAAAAGGAGCGCTATCCACAAGCATCTACTTATTTCACATTTATTTTTGTAACCTTTTTAGACAATTTGAAAGTTTTCTTGCGATGATGGATCTAGCTACACCTACGCAGCCGTTCTTACCTGTACCTATTCTATCCATTTTTGAAGTAATAATATTCGGCAGGTAGTTCAGAATTTGTCGTATCTGTATTAGCATCTGCCGTGCTATCGGCTCCGTCCCCTAATGGGATAAAAGTCTATATGTTATTCTATCTAAAGTAAGCATCATTTAAATACCCCTTCATCAATTTTCATCCAGATCTGTTGAGTAGCTTTTGCGTAAGAAAGTGACCAAAATCCCTCGAACTATCTCGTTTACAATATTAACTACTGTTAGTAGTGTAAGTCGCGGTCCTGGCATAAAAAGAAGGCTGTGTGTTTTTCCAGACTATACTATCTTTGTCTCAAATTTTATACAAATATATCATTAGCTTTTGCGCATATACATAAATATGATATGAAACATACACATCTATCATTCACTTGCTACCTTTCGTCGCCCATAGACACAGCAACAGTAAAATCAAATATTTGATATTATTTGTCATTTAGGGATGATCAACAATCATGATATGTAATATTAATTAAAACTATTGAAACATTTACTAGAAACTATCAGTGTAAACTAACGTCATCGGTCTGTAAACGTAGTACCACCTATTGTGGTGACGTCATACACGAAATACCTCAATTTTATTTATACATTTAATAAGTCGGTTCTAGTCTCTTATTATGTTAGCTTCTATTTTGTTAAGAAGTTGTACTAAGAAACTACCATATTCTGGCGTAGTGCTTACATATTCGAAGAAATAAAACTCGAAACCAAACAGTAAATAAAAGCAAGTTTGTGCTAGCTCGCTAACTCCGAATCTGTTATAATATTCTCGACGTAAAATGATTAACATTTCCAGGATCTATTAAAGTAGCTAGTACTAGTAACTAATAAGTTATTTAACGGCTTTGTACCGAAGTAGCTTACGATCGTGTACCTGCGCTCGGCTCGGCGGGGCGTTTATGATTGGGGAGCTCTGCATTCATTAGGGGAATCAATTCGCTTGGATCGGAAAGCTATGTGTCGGTGTCGTGGCGACATCAGCTAATGAAGTAGCTCATTGTGTTAATGTTTGCTAGGAGTGGCTCTGTGCGCTGGGCTTCTGTTCGGGCTCATCACTATGCTGATCCAGTACGTGGGCCTATTCATGACCGGCTTCCACACGGGTGTGCTGCTCGCTATCGCCGGACTAGCCATCTACGACCATTTCCTGGATTCCCGCCCGACTACAGTAAGTATTTGCATATCCTCCCTCGTTAATGTGTATTCTACCATACATTGTATGTGATCATATCGCGACCAGGTCTATGTGGGTCACAATCACAATGCATACCTACCAATTTGAATGCGAGTGCAGTATCTATGTGATTGACGATGACGGATAATATTCGTTGTTACTTTGTTTCCAAATAATACGGACGCGTATAATACAATGTCGTGATAACACATTGCTGATTACTAGACTAGGTACCTTCTTTTAAAGCCCCATTCACATGACTCAGTGTTTTGCCTGTTGCATACAATTGATTGAAGCAATAATGGTCTTACTTGGCCAAAAAATACATTTGGTATTATGTAAACAAACCTTCAATTTATTGAATTCCGATATTTAATAGTGTGATTTAAAACATGGCTGATATAGAAATGTAAAAGAGGATATTGTCATCGTAATTATTTATTATAAGTTTTGCAAAATGTAAATTCGCGGATCACACAAGGATGTCCATATTTCGAGTATTGGTTAGTCGTCGGTCGCGGCGCGTCATCGAACTCATCGATTCGACGTAAAATGATTCATTATTATCTCGCGTCAGTGTGTGCGGCGTGCGGACTCGATGTAGTGTGTCTGTGTGACATACATTACATATTGTAAGCCGAAAGTAAAACGGAGCCGTCAACTTATTCACACAGGGGGCCAGGCTGCTATTTTACGTAATTGCTAATAATTCGGACGCCATTCAACTCGTCCATTTTCTACACAATAACCGAGAATTAGCGCTGTTTTTATCTATGCTTTTGCATAGATTATTTATGGAACAAGCTGGCATTATTAAGATATTTCTTTTTATATTATTATATATCTTTTGTGTTTGTTACTTTAGGACAGCTTAGTACTTATGATAACAAATTTTCTCAACTTAAGTTATATTCTTCTCTTATCACTACTACTATCTTCACTTTATCACACAAATACACATTGATAGAAATTTGTCTGATTTTGTGATGAAAGTAAACGAGCAAGACGGACCTAGTCTAGTAGTCTAGTATTCGCGCTGCCCATGGATACTTACCCAAAACATAAAAAGACATGCAATTGACTTGTTGCACTTATTATGGTTAGACGATTAACACCCATGTTAATCGTCTAACCATAATAATGCATGCATGCACTTATTATGGTTAGACGATTAACATGGGTGTTAATCGTCTAACCATAATAAGTGCAAGTGCAAGATTAGAAACGGGTAGGTGAGGATTCGGTCTCAGGTGTTTTGATATTTGAAAATATAGTTCAGGATTTTGTGTATCGACGTAAAAAGGGAACATTTTGAATGAACAATATCGAATTTCAATAGCTATTTAACTAATTACTGTTTAGCATTCAAGTGTTGTATTAATTAAGTGTACGGATAATATTGATCTGTAAGCAAACCAACCACATAATTACGCCTTCTACTACATGCACACCTATTAGTGTGCATGTAGTAGAAGGCATGATTACTAGCTGAAATTATGCACTAATTATATAAATTACAAGTATGAAATAATTACTATACCCTACGTATATACTATAGTAAATATTATCGATAACTACTACGTTTTGATTTATAAAGTGGAACCTGAATTTCAGTGTTCGTGTAAATTGGAGTCGTCGGTGCTTTCAATAAATGTCAATTCATTAACGGCATTCACGGGGCTTATGAATCTGTGAAATAATTGCAAACGAGTGCAATATTGAAATGGAATTCAATAGAAAACTAAAACTGTAACAAGAGTGGTTCTGGTTAAAACAGATTTAGTTTGTTATTTGTAAAATATGTTGTATCACTAACGAATTCTCCTAGCTAACGATGTACCTCTGTTACTTTTCACTCTAAAGTGTGGCCTTAGCGTTTGTGTTGGTCCGTACAGCATCTTATGTACGGTCAAAGGTCTTTCGTAGTTGCAAGTCGTTACCTTTATAGAACCAAGTGTTTTGGCTTGGAAACAAATCGTATTTGACTCGGAAATATTCAGAATTACTGTCAGCACAAAAACAAGATGGATCCCGCAGATTATGACTGCGTTGCATGTCCGGAAACCGAATTCGAGGTCATCTTTAGACTCGTATCGTTATTACTGCGCACCTTGCATGCTGCAGTAGCATTCTGGAAGCAGTTTATCCGATTCAATTTATGGCAGTTACTTGTGTGCCGAATGATGGAAACGACTATATCCCCTTTCCCTCACCACCTGTTTCGGTCCGACTGCTAGATATACCTAACAATTTATTTTATCAATTCCCTTCGACTGCACACACAAAATTACCATTTTATACATTGGATTTGTTACATTAATTCTTTTTAAATCATTCCCTTGATCCGTCAAAGCCCGAGCGAACAGGTCGCGCACTTTTCTATGGTGTCTCGAATTAACACTGTTGGAAAGTGAAAGAAACTGAGGAACCACAAAATTAAAAAAGGTATGATACCCCTTAAACTGCTCGTCAGTAGACAGTAGTTTGGTCGTCTGCATTCTTGCACTTGGTGCACCAGACTGTATCTCTTTAACTGTAATAATAATTAAACAATTTAAAAAAAAAAACAGGACAATTTCTGTTGTCGCTATTATAAACAACAAACACATACGTATACTGTAATGTCTCCGATAGATCAAACATGATATTTTGCCTCTTTTTTGTGCGCGGATTCAACATTTTACATTCATTAGTTTGAATACAATGGTTCAGTGATAAAAATTGAGAGTTATGCTCACAAATAGGTCGCAAAAAGTTTGTTGTGTTTCGCCATGTAAGTGAGGTTACCGGAGGCCCAATTCTACCCCACCCCCAATCCTAAAAGGTCGGCAACGCACTCGTAACTTCTCCGCGCCGTTGCGGGTGTCCATGGGCGGCGCTGATTACTTACCATCAGGTAAACCGTCTGCTCGTTTGCCGATCTATAACATAAAAAAAAACAATAAATAAAGTTTCCATAACTTTTTACATGATCTTCTGATACAGGATCAGAATACTGATGATAGAAAGTTCAGTAATCAGACGAGCTAATTCATTGAGTAAGTAAGTATTGCAACCGTGTCGATCGGATATTGTTTCCGACAGAAGAGTCGTTTGATGTATACGTAACCTGTTGCACGGTTCGGTACAATTTCATTCCACACCGGTAGACGTGTTTATTTCGCACACAGTAAACGCTTAGTGATAAATTCGTGTAGTAGTCGATAGGACCCGCTTCCCAGCCATTAAATCAATAGGATGCGCCGGAGCAGTAGTTGCATCTAACAATATAATCTGACCTCAATTGCATGCTCGGATGTGTTTTGCTCTCCGACGCTTACACACCGCTATGCGCTCTCCAACTATTTACCTATATCGGCTATCTATGTGCGTAATGTAATGACCCAGTTTCTTTTTAAATAAATACAACACTGCCTACTGACTTCTGACCTCTAGTCATTTTGCACGAGACACTTTCTCGTTACTATTATGTTAAGAGGCCAACTTTGTTAAGGTGCCTTTTTGCAGAACATGTTTTGAGGTTTCTAACCATTGGGTATTTGACGAACTACAATAGAGAAAATGTCTTTTACTCTCTCATGTCCGAGTACTGGCCTTTGATCGGAAAAGTAAATCCTTTAACAGGCTACCCTTCGGTGTATTGTACGTCTAGACAATAATTCCAAAAGCCACATAAAAATGATATTTTTCATGTTGTTTTTCTTTTACACGCCTGAATGCAAACGTTTTCCACCAAATGCGCATAATTGCCATTGATATCGATCTGTGTATGTATGTAGAGACCAGCGTGTACAACGAACTCATTTCCGAAAGCGTGGTTTTTATGAGAGTCTCAACACCTCTGCTTGGAAACCAGTCAAGTAGCTAATCTTTTATAAGACCCCGTCCCCTTTGTGAACAGACGTAGGTACATTATACGGTGGATTCTTCATCAAAATACTTGGATATGTGTGGTCAAGTACATAATTGATTCTGAATAACGCACTTAGGGTACATATTAGTGAAAGTATTGTAATAGGTGTGTAATTGTTAGATAGAATCGTTCGACTGTAACGATAAAGTTACATCGCCTTTACAACCACAATTTCTTGTAACTTTAAATAAAATCAACGATGCAGTACTCACATAGCTGATTTCGATGGCTTTGATGGAAGTATGGCGTTCCGAGCGAGCGTCCACAGCGTTACATACCCATTCTCGATCCGATTCTTTACATACCTCTAGCAGCGAATAGCAAAGCTACACAATACAAGTACATATTTTGAGATCTTGCAAATGTTTTAAATAGTGCTAATAAGGCAAATAGTTAGGATATTTCTAATTAGACCTTATTTGGTCGGCTTTGGTCAAATTGCGTCAGGTATAAATATATTAGGAACCAACCACCGCAACTAATAGGTGGCTGGCTTATCTACTACACAAAAAAAAATCATGACTTGTTTGCAACTCATTTTAACCGCTTGGAGGGTTAAAAGGAAAACACAAAAACACTGATGTTTATAATATTCTATGAAACATTGTATCCCGTTTAAAAGAGTAGATTGAGCCTTGATTGAGTAAGTAGAGTTCTCTTATTATAATTTTATATATTAATTTTTTACCATGTATATTTATTTGCTTTGTTCTTTTACTTAGCGCGCAAACACCGTGCCATTAAGCACGTTTCATTTAGTATCTGTAATTCCTTGTAACCAACATTTGTATCATTTTCCATTTGCATACAGTTCGTCATTGGCTATCAAAAATAAATAAAACAGTTGACAAACAAAGGAGAAAATGCCATTGAACCGTCTGTGTTTTGTCTTAGCCTATTTGTCTAAAGACATAACAAACACGTTCATTGTCCCCGACCGCGTAGGCTGAGTAGTAATACCGTAGAAAATACTCACAACTAGCCCTGGGCAAAGGTGGGCGAGACGGTTGTCATGCCACCGGCCGCCGGCCATAAATTCGTACTACACACATACTTGCCACTATCCCAAAGCCATTTTTTCCTACGCCATGTGTAATCGAGCTTGTGGCGAATGAAATCATGCAAATAAAGAGAAATTCATTTTATCATCGAAGCCTGAAAACAAATTTGCTAATATTTGATGCTTGCTCCACTTTATTCATATAATAATAATAATGTGATGTGCTTTTCACTTGATGCACTCTATCCCGCTAATAACGCACTGAATAAATAATGAGCCAATACTCAATACAACTGGTTAATAATTCGACGAGCTGAATGTGTGATTCTAGTAAATAAATTAAACGGCGAGGATTTCGGCTGAGCAATAACCGAGCTTTAAATACATAATAAATTCAATATATTCTATTGACTCGTACTCATTTCTGCGTAGTGAAATCAATCGGTATGAAAAAGTAATCGAGCAATTAAAGTACATACATGGATTAAAAACAGATCAACTTTTCTATCTCCAAACTCGAACACATATTCAAAACCGTAGATACTAAACTACACTAAAGTGAATGGTCAGTCACCGCAGCCTGAATTTTTCAAATAAAGCCATACCTATTTTAGTGATAGTGTTAAAGCACCAATTACCTATTCGTGCTGCCGAAGATTATGCCAGCTTGTTACTGACCACCATTCCAATGCGTATTCGGTTGCGCTTTTTAAAAATATTGTCAGAATTAGTTGATACACAACGAAATAATATAAAATTTATTCCACCAAATACTAATGGATGTTCGTAATGCGCTGCACTTTAGAAGAGTTTCGCGTAAGAGGATTACATTTCCATTACCATGACCTAAACTCTAGAATGTACTATGTTAATCATATATTTGCTTTTACTATAAAATCCATTAAAACATCGGGATCCTTCTAGTTGGAGGGTTCGTCGTTTCTTTGTCGCCTGGTAGTTTAAAGTGGTCCGCTTATAGACATTTAAGTTTATATTATTCACGAATCCGTCTTCGCAAGTAGAACACAAGTCGTTCAACTACGCTGGGACTCGTACGTTGTGTTTAAAAATTAAATACAGAAAAGGAAAGTCCAGTATTTTGCTAAGGGAAATGTATTTTAAATAAACACATGAAGATCCATTGGATTACGACGGTAGGACGGTTCAATCACGAGTCTTGTTTACTTCACTTACTGCTCGGTCCACATTCGCCTGTTTATTTTTGCAGGCTCCGTGCATCCCTTGTTATCCTTATTCATTTACATACACGGGAACACTTCAATTTGCTCACTGGGAGAGTACATACTTTTGTTTGCTCACTTCTAATTAAGCAAGTAAAACGGTAATCGTATTGCGAAATTTCGTTCCAACTGTTTATTCCGCCGAAAAGCTTTGCGAATGAAAGGGCTTCTGAAACGTTTGTCATAATTGCTTTTTGTTACGCCGCTTCAAACATTTCCTAGTTTTAGTTTGTAACGTTTGAATGCATATGAAGTTTGCTCAGTATTTTTAATAAAAACTCTCGTTAGCGTACATGTGTACCCAAATACTGATGTCGGATACAAGTTTACATAAACGAATATCAGGAATGAACCCAAAAGTACAAAACAAATAAATTGCAGTGATATTGCCATTCTACGAACTGTAAATGAAAAATGTTACTGCAAAAATATGGAACATGTTATTTGATGTTTTAAAAATATAAATAAATTCTATTTTGATAATATGTAAAATGATGTACGGGTTATGTAGCTATTTGTTGTGTTAAATGAATGAAATAATGATGTCAGGCCTGGTATAAAGGTTTATCAATTAACTTGGTGAAAGTGAAGCTAGCGACAGTGACATCCAATGGATGATTTATTAATGAACACGTCTTAGCGACGCGACTTGTCGGATACACAAATGTGCAGGCGAAAGTATTTATTTACAAGCTTTTGCGATTGTACACGTCTACCATTGTAATTGATCACATTACTCACAAAACAAGAAAAACTGACTAATGAAACCTGACCTGATGTAGATGTAGTTGTCCAAATGACTGCGTAAGGGAGCAATGTGAAATTGGGCTCAGACAGCCGGGGGTCCTCTTGTATCGATTGGTCAGCTAATCTTTAAACCTGATTTGCTTTGGCCCAATTATGTCCATTACAGTGAATTGTATGTCATCAGGATTGGGAGGGAAGCAATCAAATGCAATTTTGCAATTCAATGACATGTCCCAGTCAAGTGGGTTGTTAGTCGCACTTGGTAACTGATCCGACGCACAGCGACAGTCCGGTTAATATTTGTTAAAGCTGAGAATTGAGAAGTCAAGAGTACTCGTACCAATCACTTTTGCTAAGAGCGCGTGTAGGTGTGTTTTGGATTCGGCTAGCTAGTTACATAACTATACTGGTCTCATCTAGTTCCACAAACAAGTTATGTGTTGTCAGCGACACCGCGATAGCGTATAGATTAAAGTGCTCCAAGTTTATTAATCCGTCGAGCGCGTTATATTCCAAAAAGGTCGATGTAATTTGTCTGGATGCGGAAATTGTAACACACAATTATTATTGTACACACGCGACATGGAACGTCACAATAACAAAATGATGAGGTGATGGCTCCATTTGTGTCACTCAGAAAACAAAAGTTGACAGAGGTCATTGCAATGTGGCCACTGGTGTGGGCCATTATTGTACACCACAAGATCGCTGCGTATGATCAGTATTCACAACAATTTCCATTGTATAGGTGCTTAGCGAATATATTCTTATTTTATAAAACACGTTATATAATATTTCAAGAAACACGTTTGTATTTAAGCACAACATCGACTCATCTAATTTTGATATTCAAGTCTCTCAATTATTCCATTGGTGTGCTTTTGTAAATACATATGTTACTGTTGTGAAAATAGAGCATGTTCAATATTGGTAACAGCTCTGTGTCGGCTTTGCATTGATAGATCGCGGATGCATTACTTAACTATGCAAGCACTGGTTATCGGTTTAACAGCGTACGATATCTGTCCGTACACAATTTCAATCCCCTAGTTCATCAAACAATAGCTTGGCAAAACGGGGTGCTTCTATTTCTAGCCGCGCCGTTGCTGCGTGCTGGTTTTAACGTGGCTACGCGAGTGAAAAAGATTTTCTTTTACATACTCGTTTGTTTACCAATTAGTTGATATATCTTTTGTTAGTTTTTTTTTGTTAATGATTACATGTAATCTCTTATACTTTAATGGGTTGATATCCTGTTTGTATATAGGAATCTTATATTCGAGACATTGTGTAGCCAAGTTAGCAGTAACAATTCTACTTTAATGCTTGTATTCAGTACTCTTGTTTCTTTCAACATGAGTGATCGATACGTATACAAAATAGATGTAAGATATCGTGGCTCATTTCTATTTATTAATGTCATTTGAACCGTGATGGACAGGCTTGACATTAAGGTGACGACATTAGCATCTTTAATGTCATAGCCCGCTATTATCAGATCTAAAAATGTATGGTTGAATTAAAATAACTCTGTAGAAGGTAAATATTAAATTAAACTTAGAGCAGATACGGATCATGTGACTTGGCGCGCTCAGACGGTTTTAGAATAGAATAATGATAAGGGTGGTGCGCTTTTGTTCGATTCACAAATTATTACGAGTACATTCAAAAAATCGAAGTGTGGATTTATGTTTTGTACTGAATTGTTAGCAAAAGCTTTAGCAAGTATGATCAGATATACAACTTAGATAGATGTCAGATCAATTGAAGTTTGATTGATTGGTCTATTCAATATGTACAAGCAATAAATAACAACCACCCGAAGACTAATAACAATGCTAGCGAAATGATTGCAAACAATTTGTTGTGTTATCATGTTTGTATAACAAGTGCACGTGTTCTAAACTAATTATGTTTCGTTTGTTTCAGTACTGGCTCTGTGTAGTTGTATTGCTATGTTCAGGCATTTTCTTCGCAGTCATCAACCTGTACTGGAAGAAAGGTAAGGCCGCTATCTTATCTCTAGTGATAACTGTGTGATATATGATTGGTATGACTGGTTGTGTATCAGTTACAAAAGTCGTATAATAACTATTTATTTCGTGTATATGTAACTCGTGTCACAGGCTTATAATCTTGATGGACTCGGTCAATGATCGCTGACGTTTGATCCCTACATTTATACAAACAATACCTTGCTACTTAAAATAGGATTTTGTGTCTTATAAGTGAAAGTTGAAATTAGGACCTACATTAATTCGCAACCTAGTAAACTACCGTTGGTAATTCACCCTGCATTGAAGCAACCAGTAACTATTGAGCCAACGAATCATATTTACCTTCAAAGGATTTGCAGATGACAAGCGAAATGCGGGAGCGTTAGTATTCAGTCTAGGAACGCAGATTAATACTAAGGATTACTACGAATATCCTGCATTGCAACTATTGTAGCTAGAACGCCGACTGATGATTGGACATTGACGTCTGTTTCAATATGCTTTGCTGTGTAAAATGATGCATTCTGCGGCCTGTGAGGTATGGACTGGACTCTCTCACAGGAAATAGAACCAAGCAAAAGACAGTTCAACTAAATGTAAAATTTTAGTTATTAATTCGTCCGTATTTCTGTCACATTGGCGAAATTTCTTTTCGATCTAGTTCTGTTTTTGTAGTCTTTAGAGTCCTTCTACTTCTAGTGGTTGGCCCTCAGCATTTTTCGTTCTTGTCGCTTCCTCTCCACTCACTCTTTTACAATTTTCTTCAATTTAGTTACGGTTTCCTTACATTTATGCAAGTATATTTCATAGAAAAGTATGAAAGAATCCTTGAAGTTTGGTAAGTTATTAAGTTAGTAGAATATTGCATTTTCTGCAATATTGTTCTCATACAATGCACTTACCTATATTCTGAAGCTTCTTGTTGTTCTTGGAACAGCGCTCGTGGCTGAGTAACTAAAGGTTGTGTTACTACTCGTATTGGAGTGGTACTCTGTCATAGTACTTTTTAACTATATTATTACCTGCTTCGCTTCTTGGCTCGCGCGTGAAATCGGTCGATCGGCAATGGTATAAAAACATTGCCGGTCACCTACGAGTAGAAACGGATTGGGCAACGAACTCGACGGACAAAGGCCCTTCGGAACACGAGTGTCACGACTAGTTCTACGTAAACATATAAAAATGGGTTTTACTCCCTTTTTGTTCCAAAATGCCACGGAGAAAGATCTTTAGTATTGGCTTAACAGTCAAAATTGGTTAACTCAACACTTTTTTCGAACGTGTTAAGATTTTTAGCTCGTCTAAGCGGAACTTGATCCCTATGCTTGAAGCTATTTAAACTATACCATCACTACCAACCTGTAAAATGCAGCACTTTGTGTGGATTCGACCAAAGAAAAGAAATGTTTATACAAAATTATCGAATTAACTAGTACACGCTTCAGGAACACGTTGACGTCAGCTTCATACGTGTTGGTACTCTGGCCAGATTGGGATGTCGCCCATATAATTCATTGTTCTTTATTTTTTAACTGATAAATGATGCAGTAAAATACTGGAACGAATTTAATTTTGTAGATTAAGCTTTTAATTGCCTCTCTCAGATGCATTTCGGTTTACACATTAATACACTGGTCATCAAAAAATCCCACCCTACCAGACACCCTTTGAATTTTTAAACATTGAAGAGTAAAAGACACAGGAAAATGGAAACTATTTCGTCTTTCTTGCGGAAGCAAGACACTTATGAGCTGCTCGAAGACCCAAAGACAGAATGTTTCGTTGTGTCTACTGCAGATCCTGGCTTATAGGAGTAGTTGCAGCGCTTGTGGGCGGGATTTGGACTGGGATATCGCCACATATATATCTCTATCTACAACGCATACGTAACTCCTTTGGTGTTGCGACCATAGGCGCCGCCGATTGCTTACCATCAGGTAATCCGACAGCTTATTTGCCGTACGATCGCACAAAAAAAATAGTTTCGATTAGTTTCCTATAGAATACATAAAACAAAACTATCTTTTAACGGATTACAGGTTGTTTCATCATTTTAATGGATCCAATAGGCAGGTTTTTTGATGAATACTTGGGGGTGACTGACGGAAATAGGTTTGCGAATTGATTGATTATATTATCTTTTTATAGTTGCAGTAAGAGGACGTAGAAAATCTATAATTATATTAAAATTGTATCTGTAATACTATGCGATGAGGCATTTTGCTCAAGTTGCGCGCGTCAATCGATTAGTGTATTAAAATATTATAAATTGCATTTACTGCGCTCTGTAGACACAGATACAGATGACTATTATTGTCATATCAAGCCTCATTGTGGCTTGTAGTGTCGTCTCGAGGCTGTCGTGGCGGCCTGGTGACCGCCTTCTGTCAGCCCAGTCTTAAGAGATGTTAGACAGAGAAACACAAAACGGAAAAAATACGCAATGAAAGTGAAATAAATTCAATAGAAATTTATTGAAGTAGCATAAATTCGATTTTATAAAGAGATGGAATTCTTGGCCTTCTGTGCACCAATAATGCACCAATAATGCAATAAAATGCTTTCCCACTGGTCGCTGATGGAGCTTAATTTAGTGATCCTTCAGGTCAATGTTGAATTATCGTCAATGTGAAGGTCTAAGTTGATTTATGCAACTGTTTCTCGTAATCACTGCGGATTCAGATTGTTAAAGTTAAGTTATTCAGGAGCTAAACTGTTTCGTCCTTTGTTGTTTTCGTTCTACTTGTGCCAAATACGAGTATCTGCACAAGTACGTCAGTGGAAATTACGTTTCCTTTATGGGAATTAATCTACCTTGATAATTTGCTCAATAAGTTTTTAATTAAGCATAATCTGAATAGAATTCTAGTTTATAATAAAATAGTTTCATAAAACTGGTGTCATATTAAATAGGAAGTAACAATAACAACAACGGCAATATCAATACAAAACAACGACAGAATATCGATTGTAAATGCAATTACAAATTGCTTTGTTTCAATTAAAAATGAAGATGAATTCAGTAAGTACTACGTGTTTCAAGGAATGGAAAAAGCAGGCGGAACCAATCGTTTCATATTTAATGTATTAATCATTGCTTGTTCTAGGAAACGTGCTGTATCGCTTTATTTCTAGCATTGTTAAGAAGTGGAACGAGACGATATCAATAGAACTTATTGGAACAAACTCGTCTCTATTCATTAAAATATTTATCATGCAAGCTTCTAGCTTTGTTCTCGACACACGAGGTACAATGTAAGCCTCTCGATACCGTCGATATTTGTGTGACGCGAGGCTACTGTTTTTTGATTCCATTTTCTGACAAAGCTAGTGCGTCGTCCATCGAATGTGTTGTGTGTAATTGGCTTAAAAAAGTTTCAGCTTTCACTTTTGTTAAGTATCATCGACTGTTGTTACAAATGTTAGAAAAATTGTGAGAAATAGAGACTTGATATCTTTTGTCTTTTTGCTTTTAATGGTCCATTTGATGAGAAAGCAACGATGCTATCTGCTCGTAACATCACCCAACTGTATATCGCGTAGTGTTTAGTGCAGGGCAATGATGAAAATGGATTTTATACTCACCTGCGACCCCTCGGGAAATGTTCACTCAGACAGATTTCAGATAAGGTATTTATTTGTGCTTAGTGTAGAACATGTCCTCGATCTCATAAATGTGAGTGTTTCGCAAACTTTGTGAGTAAACACTTGTAGGAAAAGATTTCATTTTCTACTCTATAACTGAAACAATAAGTTGTGGAATCATTGATATTACGTTTGGAGTTGCTTTGTTGTCGAAGTCGACTGGAGATTTCGGTGTATTTGCAAGTTTAGTAATGACTAATGTTAAATCGACCCTGAACCACAATAGGCCGGAGTCCTGTTCCTCAGGATTAATAACATAACTGACAAAAGGTGTCTGTAGGTACTGTAAACCTTTGTCAACCCCTTTAATCCGCGTCTGAACTTTTACAGGTGCGATCGTTTTATGTACCTGGAAAAATATTCCTTGTATAATGTTGTTATTGGAAAATAATCTGTTATTTTTAAAGCACGAGGGCGGACATACTTAGGGCGCCAGCCATATTATTTTCTTCTCTGGAAAAATACCTCGAGAGTTCTTAAATATTTTAACATAGATACAAAGGTATAATGTGTCGAGTGTTTATCGTAATTGTTGTTTTTTTACCCGACTGCCAAAGAAGGAGGGTAATGTTTTTCGAGTGTATGTAAGTATGTATGTATGTCTGTTCCTTTGTGACCTCCTGTAGCCTAAACGGCTTGATGGATTTTGATGTATGAGGTATCGTTAGATTTGTCTTGATTACGGGAGTGTCATAGGATACATTTTATCCTAAAAGTCCCACGGGATAAAGACATAATAATATTTTTTCTAAATTTCCCTTTAAAAAAATATGTATGCGGTATCATTAGATTCATTTCAATCACGGGAGTAATTAATATAGGATACGTTTTTTCTCAAAATTCCCACGGGAACATGTTAATTCTGCGTCAACGAAAAGCAACTCATGCGTTAGCAACATCGATCACTAATAAAGAACTAGATACACAATCCCATACAAAAGTTCGCTTCAAAACTGTCGCCAACTGTATTTAGGTACTTATACTTGAAATAAAAATGCATTAATGTAAATTAAATGCAACTCATAGAGTTGTTTTTACAAAGTGATGTACAAAATCTTAATACTTTTTGCGACCGAAGCTCTTGACAAACACAAATCATAAGAAATTGAATCATATTCGCATGTTTTTAAGTCGAATTTACAAAGTGTCAAAAATAAGCAATAAAATTTAACGACTTCGGCTCACCGCTAGGACAAAGAATGATTGGAGTCGAAATGTCTCGTAAGAAATATATTTCTTTATAATATTTCTTTAGAAAATACGCAAATTAAAACGCATTACTTATAGTATTCTTTTCTATAGGTTTGTTCATTTATTTACCAATGAAACTAATGCATATAGTTATAATTCTTTTTTTTTATTTTCGTCCTCCTTAATCCTTTCTATTCGAAGTCAAATAAAAAAGATGTAAAATAATAAAAAGAATATATATCTAAAGTAAGTACTGAAAATGTTGGCGTTATTGTTGTAAATTTTTCATATCGCACGGGATTTTGATGAAAGCTAAAAAAAATGTCTTTACTGCAGTTAAAATTAAATCCATTATATCTGCCTATTCCATATTTTAATAAACACAGTAAAGAATTATAATATTAAATAAAAACTATTTTTTAATAAAAAAAAACAATATATAAAATTAGGAACAATAGCGTCTCCGCTAAACGGAACAGAATCAATCCACGTAAACCGAACAACTTAAGTGGTCATGCTAGAGAATGATTTTACGTTTAGTATAAGTGTCTTTATAAACTGTGTGCATTATAACCCCGGTTTTTGAATACGATTTCATTTGGAAAAAGTTTTAAAGTTAATTTCTTAATAAAATATCAATATTTAAAATAGAATGATGACAATTATATAATGATAATATTATGACTAAACGAAAATATGAAATTCCATCCTTTTTTGCATCTTAGATGTGTGTGTTTTTGCAGTTTTTTAACGAGCACTGAGGCGTGTTTACCGTCGGAGCATTCGAGTGGTACTAAACTAAAACTACACCGCGATGTTGAGTTTGGTGGACTTTCAGTTGGGACATTTTTTTGCCACTGATTGTGTATCTAGTTCTTTATTAGTGATCGATGGTTAGCAAGCAAAAAGATAGGGCGTGGCCTGGCATGCGGCGCGCGGCGCGGTGCGGAGGGGGATATGCTCGAGTATACAGCCCGAATGCGGGCACACGCATAAGGGCACACGTCGTTGACGGTCGTCTCTAAATAGCGATTTTTTCGATACTTCGTCGTCTGACGCGAAACTTATAAAGTATAAATAACTCGTTCTTTTTCTTTCGTGTTTCTCTCTTTAAATTTATTCGTTCTTTCTAATTAATTAACTCGTTCTTCCGTTCTTTTTTTTGGTTCTTTCTTAAATTCTTCATAATTAATTAATAATATAATAATAATTATTAATAAAAAAATAAAAACAGCTAAAAAGTGATAAATAAAAAAATTATTATTAAAAAAACAAAATACCCGACTGCACACTAAAAAAGAGTAAAACAAGCCCCACAATACAAATTTACTGAATATAATTTATAAATGTTGATGGAAAGCATCGCAGGCGGGGACCACCTTGACCGCCACCAACGAAAATTCTGCTAAATGGTGCACAACAGAAATGACTCTAAATAAGCCTCTGTTGGTCCCCGCCTGCGATGCTTTCCATCAACATTTATAAATTATATTCAGTAAATTTGTATTGTGGGGCTTGTTTTACTCTTTTTTTAGTGTGCAGTCGGGTATTTTGTTTTTTTAATAATAATTTTTTTTACATAAATATTATTTCATTTTATATTACATTTTAATTTTCTCGGACTGTATATATCTAGAGGTTTAATTTCTCTATAATTGATACGTTTCATGGAAGTAATTTATTTATAAGTAGGTACGATACCTTTCAACAAGATGACAGGATTTGATTTGATAAAAACGATTTGGAAAGCAACAGAGAAGCCATGTAAATAATAACTTATTTAATTATAAGTAACATTGAGAACGTTTTTTACGATTTCTGTTAAAAGCATTAATACGCTATTGAAATATTTACTGTGGAATCAATAGATAATAATAGAAGATGGCACAGATTACAGTCGGCCAATTAATAGCTTTCAAAAGATAGCAATAGAACAAAATTGTAGAGAATCAAGTCTTTGAGAAATATGAAAGGGAGAGTACCTATTAGTAGCCCTTTCACAGAACATCGAACCTCGGGACAGTTATGACGTTGTAGGCTTTGGAAAAAATACAGTTTGCCAATGATAAACGTAAGTCAATCGGCGGTGTAGGTAATTCCAAGTAAATAGCTACATTTCAGAGATAATTTCACTTTGAGAGGAGAAAATTGAGGTCATTGGCTCATTGACTCTTAGAATATAATATTTTTGGTTGAATTATTTGAATATTTCCAAATGTGTTTTTGAGTACAAATGGTGCCTTTCACCCTTAGCTAGGGCAGTCACAAAGGTACTATTATCCCGACACTCTTTTTGCGTCATCCATATTCATCAATCTCTTGTGATGCGAGACTCGCGACTGCTTTTAATTTTCAACTTTTTGTAGTGCGGTTTGAGTACTACGGGTATAATCTTTTATGGTGCCATGTCAGTTCGATGTTAATTGTTTAAAACTAAGGTTCAAGCACTTCGACTAATTAATGGCAATACTTAAAGAGAGACATAATGGATCCGACTGAATGATGTAACCAAGAGTTGAATTGTGAAAGTGATTGAAAAAGAGTAACCATCGGATTCCACACTTTGGAATAAGAAAATGTCTTAATATTGTATTTAGTTTGGTTTGATGTTCAAAGACGTGTATTTATTGCTCTAAATGAAATAAATAATTTGACTTTGACTATCTCTAGGGTTCTCTGTCTCTGAGGTTGGTTGAAAATTTTATCAGGTATCTATTTTTAAATGTTTTATATACCTGCACTGGAATAATATCCACTGCACTATTATAGGTTTCCCCACCCCACAGGCGATAAACTAGTCCTTCGGGGGAGGGCCCCTACCTAACCGGCGATAAGTGGGTGTCCAGCAACTGCTATGGGGTACAAGGAACATGAATTTGTATTTTGTGTATGGTATATGTCATTCTCAGCATGTTCAGATAACATTCAGTCGAGGTAAACCGGCTTATCTATTGTCGGCACGTTAGCTTCAATCGCCGAACAATAAGTCCATCTAGACTTGTATTGTCGGCCACCACTCGTACTGAAACCCGGGATACCATTCACTCGAGATAAACTACGCTTCGGTATAATTTGTAATACGAGATTTTACATTAATTGTTACACGTAGGTATATACCTAAGGAGTATGTGAGTTATGTATGTACATTATAGGTGTATAGAAATCCACTAGCTTATTTAAGTAACGTATATTATTAATATTATAGCTATGAATGAATACGGGTAATTTAATTAATTATGGAGTGCTACTCGAGTATTGGCTTTATAACGGTGCAGTCAATAAGATTGTATGAGTCTTCTAATTAATTACTCTGTAAATATTGAAGCCTTTTTATTATAAGTTCTTTGATTTGTCGTTTATATAAAATAGTTAGTAATATTTTTAATGAGTAACGTTACCTTTATTAAATTAACGTTAGTGCGTTTGTCCTGTTTCTTTTCCTGAACCAAGCTGGGTGCGCAAATGAATCTAGGCTGCCTTAAACATTGTACTACCATTACAATAATTATAACGATGCTTGTCTTATATTTTGCATTTGATAAATCCAGTACTTAAGGCAGCTCCCGAAGTCGAATAAACTGACGGGGTAGTCTCATAATGTGACAATTTCAATTCTCTACAGTTCCTAGCTTGTTATTAATTGAATGACGGTTAGGCAAACATTTGAACATCAGCCAAACGATTGAATTTAGTCAGTATATTATAATAAATGAACTGCTAAGCTTCTTCAATTTATCCGAGAAGTGGTAGACTATGGCTGATTATAAGGAAAATATCTCACGTTAATTTTATTGGCACACGGAAAGAAACGTAGTTATTTTTAATTTTCTCTGTAAAATCTCTGGAAACGAATCAATACCGAAATTTCCATGTTAAAATCATAATCTTCTTGTTTCCAAGGTAATTTATTTTCTTTTTGTTTTTCTTAAATAGCTAAAGTCTTTATTTTTTTATGGGGCGTTTTGGTTTTTTTCCTTTGACGTAAATAGGTTAAGTATTACTTAGCTCGATTGGCTGTCGATATTTTAATAAATTGTACGTTGCTGGGCTGACGTTAGTGGAAGATTTCGACAGTTGTCCGTCTACCTTCAGCAACGGGTTAATTAATTGTCTGTCAAACTGTGACATACTAGATTAAATCCATCGAATGTTTGGTCTTCCGATGTAGTGTTATGTTAGTATTTGATAGAGCTTGATAGTAGAGAGGAATAGGATTTAAAAAGTATTTTTAGATCGGAACGACCAGTGAGTATGAGGTACTTGTTTTACTCAACTTTTACTTTAAGACAAAGACAAAGAAAATGCGACCCAGTCAGACATTACGATACCTTTTTCAGATGTGAGATTATGGTACGCATATATGGTATACCTGGCCGCGACAGATGGCAATAGAATTGTTGAAACATCAATTGTGTGTGTATAACTTAATATGCGAGTTTCCTTTACTTACTAAACTTGTTCTAAATTCGGCTCATTTTAACTTTATCGTCCTCATCAGTCTGTAAGTGCCCACTGCTGAGCAAAGGTCTCTTCTCCAACGGAGAAAGATTAAGCATTGAACGTTCGATTTCCGGCCACCGTAAACTCTAGTCTGCGGACGGCGAGCAAGGGCTGCTCGCCGCCCGACCAGAACCAGACCATAGCGTACCGCGGCCCGGCGCAAGTCAGGAGAAGGAACGAGCACTCACTCTCGGCTCTTGGCTTAGTCCCTGTAAAAATATAATATCTGATAGTCAGCTTTACGACCCGCGCGAAGAGTAGGGTTGGTAAAAATTCTACTCTCACCACGCTCCTAAACAGTATTGTCTAAAGAATCGCGCAGAAGATTCAATAACGCGGAAACGTAATCCAATTGTAAGGCCTAGCTTTGACTGCAGCCATCGCGTCCTTCTACTTAATGCTTTCATGAATATTAACGATGTGTTTTTCGTGTTTCAGTGCTTACAATCTTCGGCACGAGCGTGTATGGGGGCGCTGTGATCGCGACGTCCCTTGATTACTTCTTCGAACGAATGATGATGCTTAAGTGGGTTAGTAGCTTTATATTTTATTTATCTACGTAATTGAGTAAATTGTTTCAAGTGGTGTAATTGTATACAATGAAGTTGTTTGGAATTGGAGGCCGATGTTATTTTTAAGGATCCTCTGTTAAACGAGGGAACAAAGGCTTACAACAAGAAATTGTTGTAAGCCTTTGTTTTAGCGATCGATTTGTTGCTTGGTTGTACTTCTCATGTTTATTATCCTTATTATTTAATCTTAACAATTGACAGATTGATCTACGGGTGTGCATTTGTAACATTGTGATATTTTCAATATTGCGAATTCGAATGCAAACGCAAAAGGCAACGCAATCAACCACAAATGTTAAATATATATCCCCATCTCGTGTTGCATAAGAATGTATTTTTTATTTGCATTTAAACCAAACTGTTTCTTCAACAATTCTTGTTGCGTGCTAAAAATAAACTTCTTATCTTAAGAAGTATATAAATACTTCTACTTATGTGTCTACGCTCTCTGCCTGTATAGCCCATTGCTTCTTAGTATGGAATCCCCCTATTTAGTGGTGGTAAAGATGATGGAAAGGGGGTTAAGTGCATGTTCCAGTGTCCCATGTTCAAAGTTTTATATATGATCATGGATTTAGATACTAGACTGTTGACGTTTCCTACATTCGGTTTACCATAATCTCAACATTTAAGGGGTCCAGTTTTATCTGAGCGCGCTGCTGTCTTGTCTGTGTTGTGTACTTTTAATTAATTAGTCGTCTCTTTCGACACCCGCGCGATGAGCAGGGGTGGTATCAATTGTATGCTCTGCCGTCGTCATAGAACGAATGGGCCGGCTCGACCGGACTGATACCACAGCCTCAAGAAAACCGGCGTCAAAAACTGGTGGATTGTCGTCCTATTTTATAAAAATAAGACATAAGACATGAGATTCTAATTAGAGTTGACTTGTGACTTATTAGTTGATGTACTTACTTACACACTACAATGTATTTATGCTAGAAAAACCTACACGCGGTAAATAAACTGCATTTCTTAAGTTAATTCAGTCATTCGTTTGTGTCTTGTTCGTTGACTTGCATTCACCAGGAGAAGACTTGACTTACACATAATTATGTTGCTTGTATACATATGCAACACGCGCTGGAAATACATTACCCTCTTTTCGTTTCGTCGTATTCTGGTAGAAGCGGGCTAAAGTTCCATTTCTCTTTGTTTAAATATTCTGTATGCAAGTTTTATACAAGTACTTATGTCTCGACGAAAACTAAGTACCACTTAATAGTTTAGTTTGTCTCTATGGATAGCTTTGTCGTTGGTTTGGTAGTAAACAAATAAAATGTGTAGAAGTCTTGACTGTTGCCATAAATCAAAGTTTTTACTGACTTCCATGGTCTAAAGTTGGCTTAAACTTATTGAATACAATTAAATATTGCTCCTACTTCTTTAAGTAAATGGTATTGTGTAAATCAGTAAATTTTGCAAAAGAATATTTCACTTACCTACTTTGTACTTTTTTGAATCAAACATTTTGCTAGAAAAAAAATACCCTGATTAAGTGCCAATCTAGACTCAAAGCCTCATTAATTAATCTTTCCACAAACGAGACGTTTATCTATACTTTCCAATACATAATATATATTATACTCACATTGTAGTTGTGTATGTAAATGGCCAACTTGAAAGTTTGGAGGTTTTAAAGTATGTGAACTATCCCACATTAACACTTTCTCTGCTAAGTCTATGTAAGTGCTTAACATACCACTTTGTACCAAGTTGGTGTGAACAATGAATAAAGCATTGAGTCTTTATTTATTTATTTTATTACTGATACTGTCTCATTGTACTGATTATCTATCTGAGATTGTAAGTTACCATGTACGTGCATATCTCAGATTATTCTCGTATGAGTTCACTCGTTGTGTGTTTTATGTAGTACGAGTAGGTACACAATACTGAATATATTAGTCAGCTATACTCGTAGTGAAGCCGCTTGTGTTTACTGGAGAAATTATAAAATTTATACGTTTTCTTTCTAGGCTTAGGCCTAATACTCTTTAATATAGATAACTAGGTTTGTCAACGGCATTGCTCACAGCACCAAGCTTATAGTAGCTTATAGTAGTAGTAGCATACATGTTAGGATCTATTAATTTTCGTGGCATATTTCAGCAGACACCATGTCATATTAGCAGCATATTGATTATTTCGGACAGTGAATGTCGTTAAATTAATTATGCTCAATTATTAATACAATTGAAATACTTGAATGTAAATATTATTTTATAATTTCAGTTGTGGGAGCGCGCGAAGCTGGAGCCGGCCGTGGCGCCCCCCTGCCGGCTGTCGTGGCTGACGCTGGCCGCCTGGCCCGCCGCCGCCATCGTTGGCCTCACTGCACAATGCGCCCTCACCGCTACCGGCATCTACCACGAACAGAGTAAGTACCCTCCGACACTTGAGGAGTAATCGTGATGACAAAAATATAATGTTATTCAGGGGTTCAGTAACATGAAATAATAAAATTATTGTGTCACCAAAGAATTGAGTAAATTGCCCAATTGTTACACATATTGTGTAATCATTTTGCCCATCCTCACCTTTGGCGCTCAAACCTGGTCGTTGACAAAACATCAGAAGTCCACACTCAAGATTTGCCAGCGAGCCATGGAGCGCAATATCTTAGGAGTTTGATTAACGGATAAAATAAAGAATAAATAGCGATTTGAAATCAAATCGAATCAGAAGGTGTTTGCGGGAAGAACAACGCCATCTTCGACAAAAACTGATAAAAAAGTGTGTAAAGCTCACGTTATTATACTTAAAATTGCAAAAATAAAATATTTTTCTTCATTACAAACATCTACTTTCATATTTCGTCTTTACCCACATGTTCGGAGCAGATAACCATTTGTGAACTATCTTCGCGACATTATGTAATATACTGCATTGTTACAGGCATAAGCGCCCAGAAACGCCACCTAAAGGCCCAGCAGGCTCGCCCCGTGACCCGCGAACAACGCGCCGAGATGAAACAACGCAAATACCGATACTTGTACCAGGTCCGCACCGCTCACGGCGATGTTATCTCACAGGTACTATGTTGTTCCCTCCAGTAAAACTATATGCTAGAAAATGTAGTGAAAATAATGCAACAGTGTTAGAACATAAAAAATATTAATCATTATTGTCGTTTTCCATGTTGTTGATAACGAACCGACACGGACAGGAAGTAATCGTTAGTATACACGCAGTTTTAAGTACTCTAGGTGTTATTCTCACGCGCAATCTAGCTATCGTTTTCGCACTCACCAGATGGCGCCTCTTGCGATTTAAGTCTTGTTAATCTGCGACTGAATCTGTCGATAATGTCTAGTGCTGCCTAGCGGTGGGTTCAAGCGCGATAGCATTGCGTGTGTTAACCTATTTTTTTACTATCTCTCGTATTAGAAACACGAATGCATCTTATGTACTTGGTTGTTGATTAGAATGTTTCATTGTTTTTTTATTCTCTTTCGTATTAAACCTGAAACGTTACTAGTAATTTACGATTTAACTGATTATGACGCATGTCTTTCCAGTCGTATGTCCAGGCGTTGCAGAAGAAGGCTCAGTGTGGTAACTGGAGTGCCAGCGGTGGGGGGGAGTGCAGTACCCTGCAGAGTGACTCCACTCATCTGACGATCCTCGCTGGCTCTGAGCACGCGCCTCCTACCGACTCTGACGACGACCTGAACCAGATCAGGGCTGCGCATTAAATATGGTAAGACCACTGTACAATGTTGCCACTATGTATCGAACTTTATGCTGAAGCTTTGCGACATGCAATTGCAAAAGAAAACTGTTAGATTAACCTCTATCTAGTGTAAGTCTCGTGATCTTACAATAATTGATGTAAATGTAATTGATTGATTGTTCTTTTTCTTTCAGATTGTAAGGTGAACAAGGCAGGTATAGCACATCGCAGTTTGTTTATGAATATTCTGTGTACCTAGTATTATCGTAAGAAGAATCCACTCATATTATTATTATTATTACACAGTAGTGTCGTATCATGACTAGTAATCTTATATTAATTGTATTTAATGAGAATTTATTGTTGTATTACGATAACTATCGATTGAATTGGTCGCGAATGTTTCGATGACGGAGTTCAAGGCCTATATGTATTTATTTATTGCCAAATATAAGTTAGTTTTAAGTATAATTTAAAATAAAATTTTTGATCAATTTATCATTGAAAACAATACCGTCTCTTTCTATCGGATTTTATATTAGAATAATGAATGCTGAACATTCCAAAGCTAGATGAATACATAGATTAATCCTAAGAGCTAGTAGACATTATGTTGACGACAACTGAGAGATTATTATATACTCGATGTACCCGTAAACACTGCCATCTGTACAATTCTGTCCTAATACTAATGTAATGGTCTTGGACTCCTGCGAAGTGGTTGTAATTATTTCATGTTTTATATAAGAACTGATAACGACGGCTTCGTGAGTTGCTAGCGAATACCTAACTCGGTTGGCGCACGAATGTCACTACAATGATTCGTAATCTCCCCTTAGATCGTGTGCTTCTAACCTGCGTGAGCAATTTAGGTCTACAAATCTAATTGTCACATCTATATTGGGCTCTTATCTATGTCGAGTAAAAAAAGTATGCATAGATATACTGGTTTATTAAACATTCCAAAATTAAGTAAATATTATTCCCTGTGATGCTAATCTTGAAGCTACCTGTCAACAAACATCACAATAGAAAAAAGAACATCACAATACGTAGTTCTAGAATTAATGGAGCCGTCGCCACATCCCTGTGATAAACCAGTCGTAAAGTTTAATACAATCATTATATTATAGTTTCTTGCCAAATTCTTTATCTCCTCGCGAGATACAGAACATTGCATCAACTGTCCAATTCTTAGAATTATTTATACTAGCAACTCTCGGATCTCACACTATCGTTATACCGAATTTCTAGGGCCGAACGATAGAGTCCGGGGATTTCAACACAAGTTCTCGTTCTCGTAGAATTTTCGGCATAAAAACTAATCCTGTCCTTTCTCGGTTCCCTAACTACATTTGTACCAAATTTCATATAAATCGGTGCAGTGGTTTAGGCGTGAAGAAGAGACAGACACAGAATTACTTTCGCATTTATAATATTAGTATGGATATATTTGTACATGAGTATCTATCTAGAGCACAATGCGATTTGGATGTGATGAACGGGTAAACTCTTGTGAAGAGTCTAGACTAAGTTAGAATACTGATTATAACTTCTAAAAGTGTATAAGTAGAGATCGAATTTTTTATAAAAAATATCTTGTACTATTAGTTTTTTGCTCATTGTTTACGGCTTTAGACGCCAGTGCAAAGCATACATGTTTGTAACGTAATAATACGGAGCATCAAGTTATTTATTTAGACCTGCATACTTGATCGTTGAGGCGCAGAAGCAGTAAGAGGTGACAAGTATAATGTGTGATAGGTAAACAATACAATATCGTTACGGGATCAACACTTTGCTCAAAGCAAAGCACAAATGAATAGATCTGCTCGTCCGCTCAAACGGTCTGTTGTCGAAATCGTACATTCTACGCACAGTGTGATAATTTAATATTTTGGCCAAAGTTTATTTTAGTTGTTACTTGGCTTAAAGCGTAAGTTAATTTTTATCCTGTATGTTATTTTGTTATTATTATTTTGTATATGATTATGAGCATATTGTATGTTAAAACAGGTATTTAAAAAGTAATTGTCGAGATTTAAAGTTGTAATGTATCGATTATTGTCATTGTACTGATGCATGGGGAATGTGTATTTTTGTAATTTGTAGTCAGGTCGCAGGGCCTGGCGCGTGTAGCTGTGGGACGGTTTGAGGTTTGGGAACTTTGACATGATCTTTGCTGCCTGAAGTAATTTGTGACCAAAGAGCACTCGCGGGTGACTAGAGATGGAAGTTATATTTTGTTATTAATAAATTTGTTTGAGTCAGCTTTACCTATAGCTAGTCAGGCAGCTAATGTTGTTTCGTCTCATGTGATGTCGTGATGCTGTAGATGTTAGTGTTTCTTGACGTATACATGTTCCCGACCTTGAGCTAGTACGTCTGTTTGAAAGGGATAGATGTAAATAACGTAGGCATTAAATTTAAGCTTAGGACATTAGTGGCGCGTTTGAGAGATGACTATAACTCTGTTCCATTCTGTCTCTAAAACATAGTCCACTTGAACGCTCAATTTCTAGTCTTTATAACATATTGTATTCCGAAATAATGAAATTCCTTTATTTGTCAACCGTTGCATGTTTGTTTCGACATTTTTCGTCTAATTATGTTCGTTTAGTTTGTAACTTTGATTTTGTTTGCATAATTTATCGACTATTTAGTATTAATATCAGAAGACTCCTAATTTATTCCACTATATTATATCGATGCAAATCATTTTATTTCTGTTATGTTTTTTTTCTAATATAACTTTGTAATCGACATTCTATGTTTTATATGTTGTTTTCTTTTCATTTGACACCCGACCCTGACTCTCGTCACGTCGCCATTCCCATCTGTCCATATCTATTCACCCCATTCACTTCCCTTCTCCACTTTAATCTTTTGACCCCACAGCCCACTGACGCTCGCCATGCCACTATAAGATAAATTTTACAATAATCAATAAATGTTAAAATAGTATTCTGGAGATAATAAACATTCAGCTTTGTGTAGTAGCCGTAAACGCGGTGTTTTATCTCAATGTTTCATTGTATTGGTCAAAAGGTTAAATAGTAATAGTTGTGCTGATAAACTGTACTTCAGATGGTATACCTGCCTTCAGTGTGTTCGCACTCTACGGTCTATACAATCACCACACGAGTGTATCACCAGTGGTAAACAGTATTGACAAATATGTTATTTCTAATGTCACACCCGCTATCTAGTCTCCGGCTCACGAAGAGGCCTCTCAATTCATCTCATCAATATTTATAAGAGACTGCAACGAGTCCACACGACTGCGAACGAACACTGCCGAATGTCTTACTGAATAAATAAAACGTAGTTTACAATCGGGAGTCGACTAGAGTGAGCTAGACATGCACCTAGTTATTGTAACCACCGCCACCACCTTTATAATTCATTTACTTCAGTGATTCCACACTTACAATATAAGGTAACTCATAGGACATAGTCGGATGATATAGATTCTACAAATGAACAAATTCAAAAGTCCGTTCTTATACAGATCGATATTGGCGATGATTGAGATATTAATCAATTAGGATGCTAGGTTTAATTGTATAAGTTAAGCAGGTTTGGTGTCCATAGTTTGAACTAGACTATGACTAGGTATCGGCTAAGATACGATAGGGTCCACAACACGGCGTAGTTTGATGGGCCACCAAACTGGGGCGAGAGATCAGTGACTCACCTGCCTCCTCGGACCTCGCCCTCTTGTGTACAATCTGTGTTTTATGATTGTTTTTGTGGAGATGGGCATACCTTAGAGTAACTTTATGTGATTATCTTTATACCAGTATGTATCTTAAATTATCCTTCACTTAGATGATTTATTAGGTATTTTTAAGGTGTACGTATACCTATTTTATTGTGTAATCCCTTTGTCTAACTAGTATCGTATGTTATGTGTGGGTCTCGATACATCGACGCTGGCACTTGTAGTAGCTGCCAGGCGGACTGGAGAAGTTACATTATACGTACCATCGTGTTAGTGACCACTATTTTCTCGCCGTTGTAGTTTACATTGGTGTTAGTTTCGCTTCGAGGTGTCCGAGAGCCTGTCGGGGCCTGTCTCTAACACTGAGCCCATCGCACGACTTAAACATAGAATTTACGAGTAATGCTATTTTTGTACATAACGATGACATTGGAACTAAATTATATTTTCGAGAATAAAACGATCTGGCGCAAAATTGCGAATTTAGTCCGTGATTGGAATGTAATGAATTTTTGATTTTACTTAAGTAATTTGAATTAAGTAGATGGACATATTATGTGGAAGGTATTATTAAAAATTGAATTAAATTAGCAAGGTATTCGAGTTACGGTAGAGATGAGCTGGCTGTGCTTGTCAGGGTCGAGCGTGGGTACTTACTGTTTCTGAGTCAATCAAAATCCAAATTTGATATTTCCTCGATCCTGTATTTTCGTAGAAGTATGACGATCGATGCTGACGAGCGCCCGCAGCTTGAAACAGTGATAGAAAGACCCTGCGTGGGGTCGTACACGTGTTTTGTCTAATCCACCATCGCAATAGAAACTCCTCAACTTCACCTCATTTCGCTCAATGTTATTCTAAATGAAGTCTTTTTGGACGATTTTGCAAATTATAGGTGGAATGAAATTGTTCACTTTATGTGTAGCCGACCAGTCCGATCCAATAGACGTCTGGTTTCATTTCTTATTGATGTTAAGTAGATACTTAGATAGGTGTCGTAGTATTGAAATGTTTGTATAAAATACGGTACCGGCTCAAGCCGTTTTATTGATAAGCTGAACTAGTTATTAACAAAATTTTTCTCTAACGGAATTGCGGTTATCATTTGGTTTTTATCCTAGATTTAGTTTGAACTAAATGCGGTTTTTATGCTAAGATGTGGCTTAACATCGACTTGCTAAACTAACACAATCCTCCCATTTTGTTGCATAATATAAAATAAACCTAACCAACCGGTTTTATTTTATGAAACAACTGAATTAACTAACACCATCCAGGTAGCCTATTATCTTTTGACATACAAGTGTGATTTGGAAGTCAGACTACTTAGGTATGCAAACTTGCGATATTAAGCTAGATCTTACTCGACCAATATTCAAAAGGAAATACCTAGACCCGAGGAAAACGCTTCAATGGACGCATTATTTGTCAGTCGTATCTATTTATTGTTTTAATCAAGGCAAGAATGATTTGTGGAGCAATGAAATGAAAACTTACGTAATAATATTAATTATGCCCATTGCAAATTTTATATGAATGTATGACGAAGTGATGAATTGTGGTGCGTTTTCTAATAGAATAACTTTATTCGTTTTATATGTTACCTTTCAGACAATACTTAGACCCGCCAAGCCGGAGTCCCAAAGTTGCAATTGAAATTATGCTCTAAGTTGACGTAATGTGATACATATTCCAAGGAACAATAAAGTTATTCTGTTGAATTAATTATGATTAGAATGTCTATTTGATCTTAGAGGAGTTGAACGATTTTAAGAGTAGGCGTAACAGCAGTAAGTGATGTATATTTTTGGACTAGCGTCCCTTCTTGCCAAAACTGTACCTAATGTAAGAATTTTATTTTAATAAATCATTGTTTTCTTCTCACCAATAGAAAGTGTTTTATTACTTACCCTGTGTTTATTAATTTCATCAAGGAATTATTTAGTGTTCCTCATATTTTAAGGTTTTATGAATCAGCCAATAAAAAGTAGGTAGGTACCTAACCCTCAAATATTGTGGATAGAATTGACTACGTACTCGAAAGTTTAGTGAAATAGAGAAATCTCTGCAATCATTGCCAATTTTTACAAAAAGATATTGAATATCTTAAACTTGGTAGGTACCTACTTAATATAATTTTAACAAGGTTTTGGATAACTTTTTAACTAATGAGGTCCTAGATAGCTTAAAAATCTTGCGATATCACATATTTTATATAACTGATGACATTTAAATGTATTGAAGAGGGAACCGAGAATTATTAAGTATTGTCCTTATCTATTTAGAAAATAATTATATACTGCCGCTTTTATTTACACACCTACGAGTATAGCCAAAAGTGAAACTAATTAAATATATTCTTAAACAATTTATTTATTTATATAACAACACTTTGGTTTAATTTTATAATATGTCGTATAATTTACATGTTCAGTTTAAAATGTTTTATTAACTTATAATCTAGGTATAGTACATAATCTTACAATACATTAAACTCAAACTCTTTACATTCATAATACTTATTATATAAATTTTCTATGGTGTCTCATAAACAGACAAATACAGTTTACATAATGATAAATATTGCGTGTTACATTTATAAATACTGTGCTCTTTACTTCCTCATTTTTATGATTAAATGACGTCCTTTCCAAAGTCTTGTAGAGGATAAGGAATGGTATTTGAATTCAGCGCCTAATTTAAATGTAACTTCAAATTAAGCGCGGGAAACCATCGAATACTAATGCGTGCTGTACCTACTACGCACTCACACACGCATTTAATGTCACATGATTTAATATTATATCTCTTACTGTGTTTATAAAAGTATGATTTAAGAACATCGACATTTGATATTGATTTTTACCTGAGACTTATCAAGAGATACCAATTAATAACAATGTATCTATCTGACCTTAAACGTTAAGGTCTGATAGATAGATTGTTATTATTTTTGGCCGTTGATCTCACAGTCAATTCCACAATACCTACCTATATGAATACACAGATAAATGATAGATTTTTTTGATATCATCACTAGAATCAACTCTTTGCCTACCAATATCAAAACTATATACAAGACACATATCCAATAAAAATAATAATTGGTTTGCGCGACTTTTTTTACAAAATATAAACAGTATTTACAATTTCGTTAAATCTTTTACCTACTTTTAATTATTCGTATCGTCTTCAATCTACTATATTGTCGCTATCATTATGAAAATTGGACAGACAAATATTTTCTCCATGAGAGACCTACATAATAAGGCTTCAAAGAAATTAATTATTAACAGGTAATCACATATTATTAGGTACCGAAATACCTTACAATTTTCATAAATAACTCGTGAGATAATTAACAATTGAAGTAATTATGCTAATATATTAATTCAATAAGTATACAATTGCACAACACGGTATCAACAACCACCAGACAGTTCACTTTATTACAATCCTAATCCACAGATTATAAAAAGGTATGATTTGACGTTCATTAGAATGGCGGGAAATTGGTCAAATACAATACTTTTTAGTTTGTCACAAATACGAGAAAACTTTTCCTGGCCTGTTTATTATTCACTGATTTTATAATTTTTTGATATCCTATATATCACTTTTGGGATAAGTACATATTATCAGTGTTATATACAAGTTGTTATTTCTTCTACATAGGATGAAGGGAAAATTCCATAGATGCCGTTCAGGTCGCCACTCCACCACCCATCGTCTTGTTTCTCGTGTATATTTATTATGTCTCCTGCAAATGATTTCAAATTCAGAAATAAATTGTGAAAATAAAGAATTTAAGAATTTTTGTTGGTAGACGTTTACATTATGATGTTTGTTACAATTAATCAGCCTAGCAAGTAGGTAACTCCTCCGAGTTAATTTCAGTCAGAACAAAACAGAAAAATTAAACGTTTCAAAAGTCTACATGCTAGAGGCACCCAATTTGCCAAATGTGTAAGTGAAAAAATGGTAAATCGTTTGAATTGTGTATTTTTACATATGTAGGTATAATTAGGTAGTATTTGGTATCTACTAACGAATTATATGTTGCAGAAATTGTTACATAAAGAAAATAGGTACAAAATTTGGTAAAAAAATTCGCTGAGCAGTTTAACACATGCAATGAAATAAAGTAGGTACTAAATTATCATCGTACGTAGTCGTAGTTGTAGGATAAGTACGGTCCCTAGACCGTACCAATCATGTACGATCTTGTTGCAGATAGATTATAGATTTAAATCGAAAGAGTTGACAATATTTTAGATTCAATTAATTTCAAAATAGGTACTATTTGCCCGGGCCATTAAAAAAACATTAACAGCTCTCTTCATTTAGTAGGGAAAGGTTTTCACGAAAAGAGAGAGTAGGTAAGTGCCTATCTGTAATTAAACATATTAAAATGCCAAGAAAATTCAGTACGTCAATAAAGTTTTATGGTTCATTAAGCAGAACCAGTCGGAACAGCACGTCCACGTTACGGTAAGTACCTACGATGGTAAGTTATGCTTTCCAAATGTAAATCTGATTTTACAATACAAGCCGCAAATTATCAGAGACATAACATTTTATAAATTATTACCGTTGTCCTGTCTTTAAGATTAATAATATGTAAGTATTTATGAGCCATAAAAATATTGAAAGTAAATTAAAGTTTGTATTAAACGTTATATAAAAGTAAAGCGTTTCATTAACTAAGACTTTCTTTATGTTTTGCAATGAATTACCTATATTACATTCATAAAATCCTTCCTTTATTACATAAAAGAGTTAACAATTTGTGGTACCTATACCTAGTGAACGTTCTATGTAAATTTCATTGAAGGGGATGCGGAACTGATATATTTAGGTGACTCGGTGTTCTTATTGGAGAAAAAATCACACAAGGTACATACTGCAGACTGCAAGTTACATATTAAAGAGTAGAATTAAATGTTATTTTACCTGGTGTCAAATTAAGTTCATCATTAAGTCTCGCCTCGTACGTGTACAGCGCTCGGCATTTGCCCAGCGATGGCGTCGGTGGCACCGTGTCCCCGTTCTCGTTCTTCATAATATCCGTCAAATCCGTCGAGCTATCGCTCTGCGAGGAAAACTCGTCTGAAAAAATAATGATACAATAAAAGATTGATACTGCAAAATTAAGAGGTTTCCTTATAATTGTGGTTAAAATAGCCATAAATCACTATAATAGAAATGCCAGCTGAAACACAATACAGAAGTGTTGTCTGAGTCTTATCTCTACACCTGACATGACATAACTTGTTCCTTTGTAGATGATTCATATCTGCGGAAATGAGCATAACGTGATGTCATTCATCACATTGATGAAGCATGGTACAACTTCTAGGATAATATCATACCAAAGTCACTATCTTGTTGATTAGACAGTCCATCACCAGCGCCACGCTCGCTCCAATCCAGTGGGCTTTCAGGCGGGTTTGGTGTCTCCACAGTCTGTTTCTGCAGCGGGGGCGTAGGGATGTCGACGACAGGTGTGACTGGTGCACTCTTGTTGTCAGTATTTCTTCTAAACGAAAGGTGTTCTATCCTCAATTTGCTGGAGGCTCTGCTCATGATGGAGTCTCTCCGCTCTCTCTCCTCTCCACCGTTCACACTCTTGGTCAACGCCGTGTAATTTGGTGTCAGGTTTTTGTTCACCTCATTTTGGTAGTCAGCTTGAAGCCATGGCGGTACCTATAAACAATAAATCGACAATTTTATTTTTGACTACTAATATATTCTTTCATTTATAATCAAACTGAAAACTTAAGTTTTTGTATAGGTACAATCGTCAAGCAAAATGATAATCATACATTCAACAAAATTGGATATAGGTAACGAGAATAAGTCTAAGTACGTGAACATGTTGAAGCACCTCTCCCCAGATTGGCCAGTTGATTCCACGACAGTGACCAGGCTTTCACCTTTTTATACAAGTATCGGGAGGCCAGAAATCTTCCATTACCTTACTTTGAAGGTTGAAGGTTTCATATGAAAATAGCATGTTTTTAGCTAGTTAGCTAACTTACTTTCAGAATGCTCTGTTGCAGTCCTTGTTTGTCTCGTATGATCTGTATGTGTGCTGCTAGAGGATGCTGCACGGGCGGCCTGTTGTCCAGCTCGTTAAGACTAGCAGTTATTTTATACCTCACAGCTTCTAAGTATGTCAGCATACTTCTCATCTGAAACAAATATGAGTATTGTTGTTACTGACTTATAAAAATCCTGTTTCCTTTCACTTCTTTAAAGTCTTAACAAGCCAGGTAAGGCGGATCTTATGAGGGGGTTATAATGTATTACTGCTTTGTCTATTCCGCTGTCCCTGAAAACACATTGCTTTGGTTCTTGATTTGCGCAACAATGAATCTTTTTTCCGTGGTTTACAAAGCTCGAATAAAAGGTTCAGTAAAATAATGACCCATAGAGTAGAGTAGGGCAGCTGGGGTGACAAATGTAGGTAGGTAACTAAGGAGGGTAGCGTAGACAGTCAAATGACGGGAGCAAAGCTGCGGATAAGAGCTAGTGATAATATATTTTCGAATTCAGTCTTACGGAATAATTTCTAATAGGTACTCTAATCTATAACCAAAGCTTTTTTTGGGCTTTTCCGATATAGTCGAAATTTTTAATATACTAGGACACTTACATGGTACAGTTTGTCAGCTACGTTTTGTTGAGAATCGTCATTTCCGAAAGTAGGTGTCTGCTTGATGGCCATCGACAGTTTCTCAAGCCCTTGCTTGGATTTCCTTTCCCTGTCGATATCTTGTTTAACTAGCTGCAGAATCTTTAGCAGCGCCTGGAACAGAGATTTAATCTTAGGGAATTCTGTCAACTTCATCATTTTTGGTCGGTTTCGCATTGTAAGTTTGAATGCTTGGATGAAATCGGATGCTGTGTTATCATCTGCTAATATTGGCTATAACGACTATAAATGGGCACAATGTGCCCTCTTTCCTTACTCGTTGGGTGAAATGCGTGAGATCATACTAATCAAAGTTTGTGTTTACCGAACCGATTCTTTGCATTTTTATAATAAAACTAGCGGACCACCCCTGCTTCGCACGGGTAGGTACTTCTACCCCGGACTACCCCGTCAGTCATTTGTTTTTTTCGCAAACAGCCACAGCACCGAAAGTATTGTTAATTCCCAATATTCCCCTTTACTTTTCTAAAATTTTCTTTCGTAAGAACCTTCACATAGAAATAACGAACATAACAAAATTGGTCCAGTCGTTATTGAGTTATGCGCTTACCAACACATTTCGCGATTCATTTTTATATTATAGATAAACAAAGAAACAACCGTATACGACCTATAATATGGCAGAGCAAAACTGCGGACAGCAGTGGGCTCTTCTGTATACTATAGGCTGATTTAACAAGATGTACGTATGATGGTGGCGCTTTAAGTTTCTGCTTGCCAATTTTGAGACAATTTGTTGATAAAGTTGAGGGACACATTATTGGCTCGATTTAAAGATTAGATATAAGTTTATTACCTGCTTACGTCTTTCCCTGTTCATAGCAAGCGTGGTATGTTCGCAGTAGAAGTCTGGCAGCAGTTGCTCGCTGGCTCCGGTCTGTGCCGACCGGACTCCTCGAACCACTCTCATATCAGTGTTCGCGTTCGCGTTCTTTATCGGATTCACCAAAATATTCGTGGCCTGGTGACAAATAGAGCAAGAAAGAAAATGAATTGAATGTTCAGAATAATTGGCAAGTTGGCAGGTAATAATAATTCTAAAACATAGACATCGTTGTCGCCGTCAGAATAAAAATATTCCAACTACCTACTTCATTGATTACTGCATTTATCAAACAAATACTTAGATCATTAATGTAAAGCCGTTACTTCAAAGGATATTGAAAAACAAAATGTAGATGAGATAAAAAACCAATGTTTACTTGATTATATCATGAATAGGTATATAAACACGATAATTACCTCCGCTAATTGTGCAGGCACGGCGGATGTCAGCCTGAGGTAGCAGTCGGCAGCCGTCTTCAGCTGAGCTAGTCTCTCTTCTTCAAGAGACTCCAGCATGCCAGCTCCCTTTACAACACTTGACTCCCATTCCAACCTGGAACATGAGTCAGTCAATAATCAGTTAACCTAATGGAGAACAGGAATATGATTTGATCAATTTGGGTAAGTGGTGGTTTACCTAGCCCGTTCTGCGTGCACGCACACATTATAATATTCAACTTCAGTTTTTTTCACAGCATCTTCCGTCTTCCTTTTCTTGACCTGAAGCTTAGCTGCGTCCTTCTCGCTCGTCGCGTTTGGCAGCCGCTCTGCCCGCGCCGCGCTCAGGATGGAGTGCGCATGTGGTATGTGGCCGACGCTCGAACTACGCGACAGGCGGCTGTAAACAAACACGGGAGCTGGTGACTCGTTCGGGACGCTCCCTCGCGCAACATTCGTAATACAAACATTCGCCAAGCAAATCGCAACTGCAAAAACCGAAGGATCCTTCTAATAATAATGACTTGAGCGATGTAATGGCCCGAGAGACTACTAGTTCATACAAAAACAGGACATTAACATCGCCAAGTGTATCGCAAGAAGCAGACCTCATCTCCAACGAGGCGTCCTGTAACTTTTCGTTCTCCCGCGCCGCCGCGTGCGAATGCTTCTTAGACTTTGCCTCCGCAGTTCTCCATTCTCCGAGAGATCGCGTAGTCTTGTCAACGTTACCCTCGATCTGTAATTATAAGTACATTAACAATGGATGTTCTTTTGCCTTTAGTCGCTTGTTGTTAATGATAATTTCGATTGTATTGAGCAACTCACCTTCTTCCTAAGTTTCAATTGATTGTCGATTACATGTTTCATTGGTTTCACTAGCTCGTCGGATAAAGCACTTGAGTAATTTCTGAAATAGAGCAAGCGATAGCGTTACTAACGGCCCAAGTATTTGTGTAACAGCCAGCTGTTTAAGTACCCCGTGTCGTTGCCGTTTACCTGTGAATTTCCGACCGTTTCTCCATCTCGAGCGCCACGTGCTTCCATGCCTCGGCGCACGAGCCGACGCTCTCCTTGCACGCCTTCGTCAGCTTGGTCCCCAGTTTGGCCAGGCATTTCGCGTAGTATATTTCTGCTTCAATTCTACAAATAATCGATGGAGTACATGAGTCCGGATAGTCAACGGTGTTTCACAATCTGTGTCGGAAGCGAACGTTCGTAGGAAATAATCGCGGTGTCGTAATGATTTGTTTTTATGTCTGCCTGTCTTTGTGGTTGTGTAAAGCAGTGATAATGCATTCTCGGCCAATGGGAGGATTTCAATTTTTAGCGCGCGTTATTTGTGTCCCGCGTCTTGGCCCACTTAGCGGAACCTCGCGACGAGCTATTTTTGTCTTTGTGGCCATTGCCGTGCCCTTACTTTCGTATGCAGTAATATTGAGTGACGTGCTCGATATCTGTATATCGCGGGGAAAGCTACACGCGTGCGCGTGAACAATGTTATATCAATTACACATCATGACGAGAACTTTCGTGTTGTATTGTCCCAGTGCCTGCTCCACCCGCTGTGTGTCGGCACGTGGCACGCAGGATCGCTCGGCCGATTTGATCGTAAACAATAACGTATTGTTTTATAGTAACGTCTGGAAAGCAAACGGTACGAAGAATAGTCGATAAGATTGTTAATCTGGTGCGTGCACGACTTGCATGGAGGCTGCGCGCGCCGAGCGTGGCCCGGCCGAATGATGCGTAACAATTTTACCAGTTATTAGAAAAAGTGATAGTACCGTTATAATGGGTAATTTAGTTATGCGGTCTGTGTATACGTAAACTTACATTCACTGTTATCTTATGGGCTATGTTTTATTTATTTTGAAATTAAGTTGAAGGTTCAAACAGGTTCATAACAAGCTCTCCATAATCTATTACTTATTTCCGATACGAAATATCGTTTAATGTCCGAATGAAAGTTACAGAACTGAAGATCGACTTACATGATGATAATACAAATTTGCTTTATTTAACAAAATTATTACAAAATTGTGTTTAGTAAAATAGAATTTTACCTCTCTTGTAATATGGATGATAGTTCTTTGCTGAAGTCGCTTCCCTGCTTTACGTAGCGTCGGAGCTCGTCGAAACCGTTTTGAGCCTGCAAACAAATGAAGATTAAGATTAGTTCATTTCATCTAAACTAATATTATAAAGAGGTAAAATTTGTAAGTTTGTATGTAGGGGGGTAATCTTTGGAACCGCTGGTCGGATTGCCAAAATTCTTTCACTGATAGATAGCTACAATGTTCCTTAGTCATATAGGCTATAAAACATCAAGCTACGATCAAATGGAGCCGATCAGCGGATGAAACCGCGTGAGAGTAGCTAGTTATCTATAGGTACAATACCACAATATTTTTTTAATATGCCTTTTTTGGGAATTACGAATGTGAGGTTGTACTACAAACATTTTTAACGAACCGAATACGAATGATCCTTTACCTAATTATGATGTATGTAGTTACCACTAATCACTCATTTCTAAAAGATATTCGACTCTAAGCGCGCTCAAACTACTCAACTAAAGCCTTTTCAATAACCCTTTATGGTCTATTTACGTAGGTGGTTAGTTATCGAAAAAAAATTATTATTAAAAAAACAAAATACCCGACTGCACACTAAAAAAAGAGTAAAACAAGCCCCACAATACAAATTTACTGAATATAATTTATAAATGTTGATGGAAAGCATCGCAGGCGGGGACCAACAGAGGCTTATTTAAAGTCATTTCTGTTGTGCACCATTTAGCAGAATTTTCGTTGGTGGCGGTCAAGGTGGTCCCCGCCTGCGATGCTTTCCATCAACATTTATAAATTATATTCAGTAAATTTGTATTGTGGGGCTTGTTTTACTCTTTTTTTTAGTGTGCAGTCGGGTATTTTGTTTTTTTAATAATAATTTTTTTATTTATAACTTTTTAGCTGTTTTTATTTAACGAAAATGTTGTAGATGTAGAAGACTATGTATATGTAAGTACCATTTTAAATTATTTCGACGACATTTGGCTTTAGATTACGAGTGATGTTATTCCGCAACATAAATTTACCGCCAATCTGGACTGTTGGTAGTGAAGAAGAAAAAGAATTAGGTTAGAAAGAACGAATAAATTTAAAGAGAGAAACACGAAAGAAAAAGAACGAGTTATTTATACTTTATAAGTTTCGCGTCAGACGACGAAGTATCGAAAAAATCGCTATTTAGAGACGACCGTCAACGACGTGTGCCCTTATGCGTGTGCCCGCATTCGGGCTGTATACTCGAGCATATCCCCCTCCGCACCGCGCCGCGCGCCGCATGCCAGGCCACGCCCTATCTTTTTGCTTGCTAACGCATGAGTTGCTTTGCGTTGACGCAGAATTAACATGTTCCCGTGGGAATTTTGAGAAAAAACGTATCCTATATTAATTACTCCCGTGATTGAAATGAATCTAATGATACCGCATACATATTTTTTTTAAGGGAAATTTAGAAAAAATATTATTATGTCTTTATTCCGTGGGACTTTTAGGATAAAATGTATCCTATGACACTCCCGTAATCAAGACAAATCTAACGATACCTCATACATCAAAATCCATCAAGCCGTTTAGGCTACAGGAGGTCACAAAGGAAAAGACATACATACATACTTACATACACTCGAAAAACATTACCCTCCTTCTTTGGCAGTCGGGTAAAAAAAGGTTTGATATCACAAAAAATGTATGAATTAAATCTTAGTTTCGACCTCGGCAGAAACAAATAATTTACAGGCAGCCAAATTGTGGAGACGCGCAGACAAGAATTTAAAGATTGAAGAAAGGAAGAGACAGATAGTACTACAAACGCGTACAAAAGATATAAATTTTAGATTAAAAGCATATTTATTAAGCTAACCTACTGTCTCCCTGTAGAATGAATGTAGGTATATTTTTTTACCTGCGTAATGTTAGTAATATCTTAACCTCTCATTTCCTACAATTTGTTGTAAAATAAAGCGTTTAATCAAAGTCGTGGTGGTATTTTCCTTAACGATAAAACTGATATTTAAGTGCAACCACTTTGGCAGTATTATATTCTTTAAACGTAGTATAAATATTTCCCATAGCTATGGCTAAGTACTGATAGATATATGTAATATAGAGAGTGTTGGCGACAATAGAAAGTGTACGTTTGTATGCGTTTTGTATTTCGACACAATTGTATCAACAACTACGTATGTATCTATTTAATATATGTCTATTATCTAGGCACCCACTGTTTAAATACATCTTACATTTGCATATATTTAAATATTAAACTGTTATCCACACATTAAGTAAATGTATAATTAATTTTAATCTTATAATTATTAAGTTATTCAATTTCTAAATTTCATTATTAGTGTAGCGTAACTCCATGGCACAATTAAATGAGGAAGAAGCTTTATTTTTGTAAAGAGTCTATATTAATTTTGACGTACTTAACCCCATTTTTAGTTATAATGATCTAGATCCTTCTCAGCGAGCAGAATAAACAGGAGGTTTTTAGTAAGACGCAGAGGCGAGGAAATAGAAATTATTATTGAAGTAAGATGGATACTCAGCTCGAAGACTGCTTCAACAAAACTTCAGTAAGATTGTATCTACTACTTTAACAGTATCAAGTACACTAAGCTAGGCTGCCATGGTAGCAACACTCCTCTCAATCTTAATAGTGACAAGAAAGTCAGATCACGACCATGATAGTGGGATGATGAATGATGATGATGCAGGAACATTGAGGTCGAGATCTTCGGTTAGCTAGCCAAGTAAAAAATGATACACAGACGACAATACCCACTATGTATAATATATATACTTCACGACAACTTGTAATGACAGTGATACAACCGTTTTTGTTCAAAGCCAATATACAAAGTACATCAAATACATTTTGCACGTGACTTTACACCTTCAATACTCTGTTTTAAAGTAGATATTAGACTGTGTCGTGCAAAACGATATCGTGAGTGCAGGCGATAATGATAGCGAGCTGTCATTAGTATACTACAATTAAAATTAATACTTCGCGGTATGAAGATAAGTTCCTGGTGTAGCTGCTATCCTGGTACTATTAAGTTGGTTATCGAGTAAACTATTTCTTTTGTATCCTATATCTTCTGATGATCACATAATTCTACGTACTAGAATAGTTATTAAGGAATAAATATTGATACTTATGTACATTAAATACATAAGCATTTCTTAGTAAATCAATTAACATTGAAATACATAATCACTTATTCCTTATTGTAAATGCTCAGTGATCTATGGATGATAGAATTATTTAAATACTAACAACCAATATCTAATGTTATCTGGGCTGGTAGTATACCAGTGAGGGGCGCCCCGATTACAAGGAAGGAAGTGTCGTCCAATTAGAACTATCAGCGATCGATCGGTAAAATAGGAATGTTTTGAACAATTAAGACCCTTCTAACGAGTCCGCTAATTAATATGAACTTCAATAATTCATTGCCTAGGTCAGCGCATTCATGGACGCCTACATATGATTTCTTGATCATTGTTTTGATGTGATAGTAACGAGTAGACGAATTACCTGATGGTAAGCAACGGCCGCCGCCGCCAATATACACCCGCAACACCGGAGTTGTTGAATGTGAGTTGCCGGCCTATTGGATATAGGCTGGGATTGGGTTTTAAAGCTTTAACCATTTTTTAGGTAACTGCAGACACTGTGATTGTTTTACACCAGCTCTGTGTAACAACAAGGTATCAGTCCGGTCGAGCTGATCCATTAGTGCCTGCAATTATCTTCAATTACATTAGATTTTTTTTTGTAATATTTGTCAACTAGACAAAACTAAACAATTTTTAGGCAAGAAGTTATTTAAAATAGCACAACATAAGTTGGACGAATTTAAAACTATAAATACTTATACCAATAACTACCTAGTTAAAGTATCTATCAGCTGTAACATTAGTTTACGTTCACAATTAACTAGAACCACGTCTTTATTAAGTAATTAAACTCAAGATAAAACTGAATCATAATCCTAACACCAAAAACAATTTCATTTCTTGAGAGTGTAAAAGAATATTTTTAGACGGCTAACCTCCACGCGCGGCTATAATTAGCTCTTAAACCCTCGAGTGGAGCTACATTATTTATTGCTACTTATTCTTTAAAATTAATCTTCTTTATAAATATTATAAAATGAATCGTTTTGTCCTCGAAAATTAAAAAAAAAGGCTTGAGGTTATCACATGTCCAATCCTACGCCTTAAACCGCTGTTGTGGGTATTCATACATTGTGCCAAAGGCTTGCCTATTATCTTGCTCACCACCTTCGTACCACCAGATAAGCCTATGTGGCATATATCTACTCCAAAATACGCTATCTGGTGCATAATGTGTATAAAGCGGCTATCCATACATTATCATAATTATCAATCTTTAATTTGAAATTATGCCACTGTGTTTGACAATATGCTATCTTCTTTTATAATTGAACTGATAATCCAAACATCTAAATTTGGATGTGACACACTGAACGTGTCTGCGGTACAAATAACCTATTAATCTGAGAAGATGGATCTGTGGTGCTAATTTGAAATTGACAAGCCAGGCTTTAATAAACCAAATACCTATAATTGAAAAATCAAAATATATCTGGCGTAATATTTTCTGTTTTGTCGATAGTTTACAACTCACTTATTTGACTTGAAAAGAAGAATATCAGATTCAAAAGAGACTTTGCAAACTAAGCTGCAGAATTCCACAACTGAATAAAATTTTAGTTCAGAGAATAACTATTAGATCTGGAAACGGAGGTTTTCACGGCCTCATGAAAGGCGTTAAACAATCACACAGCGTTGTGTTTCGCCGTGTGAGTGAGACTGCCGGATGCCCAATTACTACCGCTGTCCCTATCCGTTTCCAATCCTTAAATATCCGAATCCCTTATTCGTTAATTCCGGCAACACACTCGTTACTCCTTTGGTGTTGCGAGTGTCCATGGGCGGCGCGGATTGCTTACCATCAGGTAATCCGCATGCTTGTTTGATCTATAGAATAAAAAGAAACTAGAAGTGCTGACGTGTGGTGGAGGACAGACAGTCCACTTGTTATACACTC